TATAAGCCTAACCCAACCCATTATGTTCTATTAACAACCCTACAGAATAGTTTCTAAGTAATTGTAAATTTCCTTTTAATTTAAATATTATTATTATTTTTATAATATTTTTAAATTATACAAAAAAAATAATAATAAGTTACCTAAATCTTGGCTAGTAGTTAATAGCTAAATATTGCAATCTTTATCCAGCAAGTAGATGAATTATACATATGTGCATCACTAATAGTATCAATAATATTAATATAGATAATAAATAATAAATTAATAAATTAAATTATAAAAGTGAATTCATTAACTCTCTCAACAAGTATGACTCGTTTATCAACATAACTTTCAGCATTCCTCATTCTCCAAAGGAAATCAGCACGACCTTTTTTTTTGAACTTTCAAAACAAATGAAGACGATTTTTTTGGCTTCTACATTATTTCGTCAATTAAATTCGAAATTGTCATCCCCAAATATTTAGGTTTCACGAAGTCAAATGCTTGCATAAATTTATCCTAATTTCTACAATTAAACGATGATAATATGTAATATAATACCTTTAAAGGATTCAATAGATCGAAGTGTTAAAGAATTAATATGATTGGAAAATTCGGTTGGTAAAGGCTTAGATATAACAAGTCATTAAATTTGATAACACGATTTTTTTTTATCTCGGAATTTGAATAATAAATCATAATCTAGAGTTGTTGATTGGTTAACAAGTAGTGATGTGTATCATTGGTCAATTGAAGAATACTGAACTGAATTATATACAGTAAATAAAATTACCATCAACCTATATCTAGTATAATTTCCTGCGCACATATATTCCAATCACTTATAAAATTATCCATCATCAAAAACCCACGGTATTTGTAAATAAAATTAATTATATTAATTTAATTATTTATTTAAATGAAATAAAAATGACTGCTCATGAAATTGAATGGAATGAAAAATTAAGCAACGTTTGGTAAAAAATGATATTTTCCATAGACATCAATATTTATAATACAATTAATGGGCAAAGAAAGTATTTTGAAAATACAATTAAAAATAATTCATCTTTCACAGAAAATGAAAAGAATTTGCTATTTAATGAAATACAAAAAGTATAAGAATTTTTAAGAATTAATGAAAAATTAAGGAGAAAAACAACAATGCAACAATTGTCAGAATTGACATCAGGCAACCCAATATTGTGAATTGTATTCGTAAATATTTAGAAAATAATTTTGGAAATTGGACATCTGGAAATAATGAAATTGATAAATTAATTCAAGAATGTCAGAAAACAACCGTAAGAACTGATAATTCAATCGAATGGATTAGTTATAATCAATTTGAAAATGTCAAATATCTGGCAGAAGGAGGATGTGTTACTATCTATACAGCAATTTGGAAAGATGGGGGATATACTAAATGGAATTCCGAAAGACAAATATTGGAAAGATTTGGAAGACAATCGATTGTTTTAAAAAGATTGAATAATTCAAATAGTAATAATGTGTATTGGTTTCAAGAAATAAGTTAAATTATTATTTTATTATTACGTAGTTATATTCTGCTTAATGCTTCAGAAATATTAATTTCATAATTACAAAAATTAATAGGTAACATTAAGTTTCAAACACGATAATACTTCCCAATATCTTGCGTCATTTTTCGGACTAACTAAAGATCCAACCACCAAGATTATATGTTAGTTTTAAATTATTATAATAATGATTTAAGACATTTTTTAAAAGGTAATTATCGATCACTTACATTATTACAAAATACAATATTATTTTTTGTATAGCAAGTAATTTAAATAAAATTCATGAACAAAATATTTTATGTAAAGTTAATGTCTGGTATATTAGTGATTTGGGATTGAGTGGACCAGTTAACAAACAATTAAATAGCATCTATGGGAATCTCCCATACATTACACCTGAAGTTCTATTTCAAAAAAATTATACAACAAAATCAGATGTATATAGTTTAGGTATTATAATGTGGGAAGTGATTACTGGCGAAACTCCCTTTAGCAACTATAAGTTTAATTCTGATTCAGATTTTGTTATTGCAATAATTAATGGATATAGACCGAAAATTTACAAATACAGTATATTCCATATGAATATGCAACTTTAATGAAACAATGTAGGGATGCTGATCCTGATAATAGGCCCAAAGCATATTAAATTAGTGATAAAATGAAATCATTACTTCAGTCGTTATCTAATGAAATGGAGCAGCAACAAGGACCAACTATTCAATCTAATAGTCTCAAATTTAACAAAAGGTAGAAGTAGCCAAAAAATCCAAACCAGTAAAGTATATACATTTAACATTTTAGCTCAACCTAGAAATTCCACAGAAGGTAATATTTTAATAATATTTTTTTTTTATTTATTTTATTTGATATTTATTAATTAATTTATTTTTCATTTTCATAGAAGAACAACTAGGTAAAGTTGCTCAAGTTTTTATTCCAATAAAACTCTTCAATTTAATCTAATCTATATTAATGTAATTCGTATATTTTATATTTAGCATATAAAACTAAACAATTTGATTTCAAAATTCCTGAAGGTAATATTTTATTAATTTTTTTAATACAATTGAATATTATTTAAAAGATTCATTTAATTTAATTCATAATTGTAGAATTTGGGCAGCTATCACTTAATGATGATGTTGAAAATTCTTGAATAATTAATATGATTTCATTTTTATACCATTCTATATTTTGTAAATTTATTTATTTATTTTTTTATTTATTTCAACTTTAGTTGATAATAATATGGGTTGCTGGTCCTTCAAATTCAAGCTCACAATTTCAAGACTAAATTTAATTTTATTTTTATGTACTATTTATTTTATTATTTAAACAATTGTTTTATTTTTTTTATCACTATATTAAATAAAGTTATTTTAAATTTCTTATATATTTTACTGTCGCCTCAATCTAAAAAAAAATTGAATAATATTCTATTTATAATATTAACAAGTTGGTTCAATTATAATCCGGGTTTTGAAATTTTGATAACGTTAAATTGTGAGAAGTTTAAAAATTTTCTTTAAGAAAAATAAAATAGCAGACAGATGAATAAACTATCAAAATCAATTTTGCTAAATTAAAATGAACTGGCGTTTTGGTGATGCCTGTTGTTAAAAGATCATTTATGGATTTTTTTTCTGTTTGTTAATTCAAATATGTATTCTTTTGTAATAAAACCTCGTGAGATACCTTTGCTTTATCATAATTATGATCATGAATTGATTTTTTTATAAATGAAAATTAAACAAGTCATACCATTACATAATACAAGTGATTTTACTTGGGATAAATAGAACATAATAAAATTACATTCATAAAATATGTTCCCTCTCGCTACTTTATAACATCTTCCATATCATTTATTTATCTACCTATCTCATTAACTATATTAGCTTTACTATTATAAAAATTTCTCACCGCTGCCTACCTGATATAGGTCAATTATTGAAACTTTTTATACTTATAAATAATATCATTGTCAATCTGTCAATCGTTCGTTTAATACAACTTACGTTACTTTAAATACTTTAATAACTCCACTTGTTCAACGATTACTATAATTTTTTCCAATATTACTTTGATGTCAACTTAAAATATATTACGTACAATTTATTCAAAAAACTTTGTTCATGCATTGCTAGAGGCATTGTAAATAATACAATTATCGTTCTAAATATTTGAATCATAAAAAACAATTTCATATTTAAATTTTACAATGCATTCAATGCATTGAACAATATCTTAATACATTTTAAGTTTGACAATAACGTGAGAAAGATCTTAACATTTAAACAAATTAGAAAGTTAAAGGAGACATAAGGAAGACAAATATTGTAATATACCAATGAACAGTTGCTTTGAATTCATCCCTATGTATAAAAGAAAGTTCAACATTTGATATTTCATAAGAATAAAGCAGTAACTTGAATCAAATTGAATGAACAAGAGGACAAAGAATTTTATATATTTGGGATCCTTTTTTAACGATTAGATTTGTATCTCGAAACAACCTGGGAGTAAAAACTATTTAATGCTTGTCTACAATTAAATCGGGTTATCCTAAGCAAGAGAAAAGGATAAAGTAAAAAACTGCCTGTAGTGAATTGAAATATTTTAATGATATACACTTATCAGTTAAATAAGGCTTGAGGAATTATACACTTTTTCTAAGCCAATGGGATTATTTCTCATGTATTATTGAAAATGTATGTAAACGGATAATCAAAATCTACAAAGCTGAGAAATTCACATTTATAATCTTTCTTTGAAAAGGATCAATAAATAAGGAAGGAATTCAAATAGTATTCATTATTATTATTATTGCAATATTATTAATAAAGTGATTTATTAGTTAAAGTCATGTTACTATTATCTGACGTTTTAAATTTTCACGTTACGCAGGCAAGCCCACACTTTAAAAAAAAATAGTTTTTGAGTCATTCGATCCTATTGTCCACTGACTTTACTCGATGTCTTATACAAACTCTTTTAAGCGTAAAGTAAATTTAAACTTTATTCAATTAAAATTCTCGTCAATTAAACTAAAAAAAAAAAATTGTTATACTAAAATTATTAATACCAAATTTTATTATTAATAAATTAATAAATCAAATTATTTGGATAATTCGTGCCACTGCACGTGTTTTTTAAGTTAATGAAATTTTTCTCGGGATCTCGTGGTTTTTCACCCAGCAATAACATCTCTGTGTGACTTGTCGGGAGTTTAAAAATCTGAACAGTTTAACCAATCATTTATCATTTTTTGTTATGCAATATTTGGACACTATATAGATAACGCCTGTTCCTTTCCTTTAGTCTTTTAGGCTTTCTCTATATAAAAAAAAAAAGTATTTTCTTCCAGGGTTTGGTTTAGCGGTATCTTTATGTCTCTTTGATAAAAAGGATTATTAATTCTTTTGACCTGCTAGAGTTCCGCATATATATTTGTGCGCGGAGAAAGTTATGTCCTCTGTGCCGCCTTCTTCTGTAAGTTTTTTTACTTTTTTTGGTTCACAAAGGCTGCTTTTGCTAATCAACACACTACCTTTGTTTCATTTCATTTTTTTTTTCTTTCAGAACAGTGCAAGAATACGTTGGTTCTGTATAAGTGAACGTCTTCGTCGAGAACTTTATCCAAACTCTAAAGAGAGTGTTATACTAAAAGAAGTTGAAATCACAAATCCCCAAAACGTCGAGGAACAATCTAGGTAAATGGTTTAATTTTTCTTAATCAAAAAATTTTTGTCCTTTCTAAAGTTTATTCCTTCATAAAAAAAGGTTCTTTGTATTTTAACAGAATTTTTTTAATTCATTCCATTCCTACTCTATAGACCTAAAAAAATAAAACCTAATAAACAAACTGACATAAATATGTCTCCAAAATTAACTGCTAATAAGGAAGAAAACTTTACCATGAATAATAAATCAACAAGAGGAGATTCAGACAGTGATGTTAACGCTGGGCAAGATGAATTGATATTAGAAGAGGACGAGTTCATGGATCCAGAAGCTTCACTTATTCCTAAAGAAGAGCCTCAAATACCAAACTTATTCGAGGCTAGCGAGGAAATAGAAAACGTTGAAATAAAACCAGAAAATGAAGAGAATGAAGAAAATGAAGTAGTAGAGGATAATATTGAAGATATTGCCCAACTTTCGGACGTTTCTTCGCCGAAAATTAAAGAAGAACCAGAAATACCAAAGAGTGAAGATGATGCTGTTCCCGGTGATGAAGAAGAAGGAATAGGTTCTGGTATGCCATTTTAATTCTTTCCTTATAATTTAAATTATAATTAAATTATTTTTTTAAAAACAATATTATAATAAATTCGATTTAGTCATTCCCCGTCGACAGCTTGCACCACGTCGAGCAAGGATGAACACTATATATAATAAACCTAAAGTGACTCAACCAAAAAAGCCACAAACACGGAATACGAGAATACATAGAGAATTCAAAGGTAGGGATGTCGTTTTCGTTGATCCTTTAGATCCTAAAGCTGAATTTTGGTGGCCCGCAATGATTGTTCCAAATGACGAAATTGATGAGTCAATGGACGTTGATGGTAAACTTGAAAAAAATTTACTTGAAGGAAAATTCCTTGTTAGATATTTTGAAGATATGACATATTCTGTGGTTGAGGCAAAAGGTTTAAGGCATTTTGAAATAAACGATAATCCATGCAAACAATTTGTAAATGTAGAAGGATTTAATACACATATTGGAGTTCGAAGAGCTTTAAAATGCATTAAAAATAATGGAGAGCCAATAAAAAAATTTAAATGGGATTATTGGATGAGGCCGGCCAATAGTTCCGAAACCATTTCACCATCATCTTCATCTTCAAGAAAGAACGAAACCCTCATAAGAAAATTAAAACACAATACCTTCTCAAAGAAAGCCAATCCTTTAACTACTAACGTCGCGGAAAGTAATTTAGACGGAAGTACATTTAGAAGTCGTAATCAAAAAAATAACAAATCACGTTATGATGACTCTCCTGCTGAAGATGAAGAAGTAGATAATGAAGTAATTAAACGAAAAGCATCTTTAAGTAGTAGGAGAAATTCTAGAAGTGTTGCTTCACGTAAAAATTCTATCTTAATAAATACTGAAGAAGAAGAAAATCATCACGCCACAAAAAGAGTAATGAAACGTCGTCGTAGTAATGTGAGTGATAGGTCAGATGACAAAAGACGTCGTAGCTTTATGAGTGATAAATCTGATAAATCCGATAAATCTGATAAGTCTGATAAATCGGATAAATCAGATGAAAAAAGCCATAATAAAGACAGTGAAGAAAGACGTCGTAGTTTTGTTAGTGATAATTCTGAAAAATTATCGGAAAATATATCCGAAAATATGTCCGAAAAATTATTATCAGAAAATTTATCAGAAAATTTAACAGAAAATTTATTAGAAAAAAGGACGACAAACTCTGTAACAGGCTCTATAGACCCAGAAGATTCTGGCATTGGTGTAGGAGCGTCACCTGTTTCTCCACAAAATATGTCCGAAATTGATGATGAACAATTGGAAACTGAAGTAGGATCATCATCTCATGTAGACACTCCGAAAGAACATTCTGAAGAACCGGTAGAGGCAGAACCTGCTTCTTCAAAATTTCCGGTTACGTTCAATGATTTAAATGAAGAAGCTCGCGATAAAATTACTAAATACAACTTTGATTATCCTAATCTAGATAAAGAGTCTAAAGCGAATTTATATGACGAAGGTTTAAACGACCTAAAAAATATATGGAAAGATTATCGAGAGATTAGAAGAAACATGAAAAAAATCGAAAGTGAATTAAAATTAAAAAAGTTGGCGAAATTAAGAGGTACAAGTGTTTCACAAATTAGAGATGAAAATGTAGAAATTACCAATGAATGTGGGGACAGCGAAGTTGAAGAGTATAGTGATTACGAAAATCACATGGAAAACGGACATGTGAATGAGGAAGATGATGAGGAAGAAGAAATTGAAGAAGAGGTGGAAGAAGAAGAGATGGAAGAAATAGAAGAGAAAGAGGAAGAAGATGATGAATACAATATCGAGGGAGATGACGATCCCGAAGAAGAAGTTATTGAAGAAACTCAAGTAATTACGCGAAGTGTTGCGAGACTATCAATGGGAAAGCGAACAAATAATAAGTCTGTTGTTGTATAAAATTGGTTTTACTTTTTATTTATGAAAGAGTATTTTTTGAGCATATAGCATGTTGAGAACATTTTTATAGTGTTCTTGTATTTTTCCTGTAATTCTTCTTAGTGTGAATAATAATAAGGTTAGAAATATTCTTCTTACCAAAAAAAAGTTTGTTATATATTTGTTTAAACTAATAAATTTCATTCGGGTGGGTGAAATAATTGCATAAAATGTGTTTTTAAATCATTATGTTTTATTTATATTTGATTTTCTTTTCGCGTCAAATTTGTTAAAATTTTAAAATCTGGTTTTTGAATTTCTACAAATGTTTTGAGTACATTACCACGTGATTTTCCCAAAAATATGTTGATCATTTACTTGATTACTGGCAAAACATAAACAATTAAAATATAGCTGAAACAAAATAACAAATATTATGCGTTCACATGAAATATCTAGGGTATCATTTACCTTTCATTGTTTTCAAAGATTCCAATAGAAGAGCTTAATGTTTAGCTTTATATTTTAAATAAATATTTAATTCATAATCATCCAATCATTTGATGATTATAAGAAAGATATTTTGACTGGATTGTGGCGCAATAAGATAATCACGAGTTATTCTCGGAGTGGCTTAAAGAAAAAGTTTGTTTATTAGTTGAGAACTGCAAAATAATACATCACAAAATTATTGTATGCCGGATAAAAACGAAAAAGCTGAAAGATAAAGAAGTTAACGATAAAGAACGCGAAAAAGAATACAACTACTACAAGTTTTAATAAGAAAGATGGGGAGTGAGTGACTCGAACACCCAACCTTCCGCTCTGGAGGCGGACGCGCTACCATTGCGCCAACCCCCCAAGATGTAATTAAGACTTATTTTTTTTGATATACATTAAACATTTTTTATTTTTTAATATGAATATGAAATAAAGTTTACCAAGACATGCATGTAAACAACGTCTGTGCTTTCACCCATTTTACAATTATGACAATCATTGAAATTTCTCAAAAAAAAAATGAAATCAATCTGGATTTAAAAAAAAGGAATATTTGGTACGGTATTTATTTACTATTAATATCTTCTGTAAACTTGCAATTTTTCGATTAAACAAAATAAACTGTTTCAATATTCTTTCTTTCGGTATTACAGATCAAATGTAAAAAATTCTTATTTTATTTAATTTGTATAAATAATTCAAATGATATCTTTAAATAAAAATAATTGGTAAAATTTTGTTATTATTCGTAAATAAAATTAAGTTCACCTTCATTAACCCAACCAAACCACCTTCGTAATTTAACTTTCTTGCTAACACGTATTATCAATTTATCTTCTAAACTGAACGAAATAATTTTTTTTGACATTGGATATAACGATAAATTTATTATTATTGCGTTATAATTCAATTAATTCAATTAATAGTTAATGAGTTACCCTTTTCATCTATGTAAATTTTTGGCATTTTCTATATTAAATAAATTTATAAGAATTAATAATATAATAACATGCTAATCTTGAATTTAAATACTTGTCAACAGTTCTCTTGAAGGATATTTTTTTAAAAAAAAAAGTGAAAGAGCGACAGCGTAAATGGATTACATCTTATATAGAAAATACCAGTTATAATATACAGCTGAAAATCAAGTGATTTTTGTGCATAATAAATCTTATTTCATTGTATTTTACTATTTCGGAAAGTCACATATTTTATAGTATATTTCTAATAAAATCAAACTCAATAATGTACAGTTTATTTTACAATAAAATAACAGATGGATAATTTATGGACAATTTAAACACTTTGAGTCGTGAGCATTTATTAAACAATATTTAATTACAATTTTTATTTGTGATTTATAAAACAGATATAAATATAATCAAATTTTTACGAATTGTGAATGTAATTTAATGCGGTGAGAATTCCAAAATCAATTGAACGAAACCGTGATTGGTGAGACCAAGTAAAGCTGGCAATTTGACATCGGTGCTAATGTATTTAGCCTTATAAACTTCATTTAGATCAACTTTTGCTTCACCAATCTAAGAATAGAATGTTATTAAGATCATATTAAGCGATAATATTTTGATTATTTTGAAAATATAATCATAATATACGTACTTTATCATCCGAAACAATATCATCATCTAAAACTCTAAGGTAAAGATGATGGTCTCCGTCAACATTGCTAAAAGAACATAATAATTGTTATTAGCATTTGACTGAAATATTCAATATTCATGCACATATATATGTTTAATTGTGCATTCGAGTATTTCTTTCTATTACAAAAAATAACTTACAAAGTAAATGTTTCGTTCCATTCGGGATCACATGTTCCCTTTTTGGTTGAGGTCCTTTGTTTATAATCTTTTTTGATCCAAAGTTCACAATATGGGTCACTTTTGCCAATGGCGTCTTCATCTTTTAATTTTTTGCCTCTAACTGTGATGCAAAAATGGTTAAAAATTTCCCGAAGTAAAAAAAAAAAAAAAATCAAAAATGAGAAATTAAATAACGATATCGACCGACGATGATAAAATAATAATATTAACATACCAACAATAACTTTGAGAGTTCCTTTATGGCCCATCTTTAAATCTTTTCTTTGTATGAAGAGAAAAAATTATTTGGAAATTGTGCAAGTAAAAAAAGAAAAAATTATAAAAATTATGAGCCATTTATATACTTTTTTGAAAGATACAAATCGTGTGAATAAATTGATAGTGAAACACGCATGCAGGAAAGGTATTTCTTGGAAATTATAGAATAATGACCAAAAAGGGAAAATTTCGTGAGAATGGGCGTTTATGCTTAAATTTGTTTAAATTACATTATGATTATGTCGTACTATCATCATGGAGAATTAATTTTGCTATGCGAACTGATTAAAATATAGAAATTATAGATAATAGATTAGATTACACTACTAATTATGCTATGCATGGATAACAAGGCAAAAAAATCTGACAAAGAATATCTCTTTTAGAAATTCTGTATACGTAAATAAAATTTTTAGATAACGATGACGAAAAAAAAAAATATAAATAAAATCTAAAAAATTATTTATTTATCGAAATTTTCGCCAAGAAATCTCGAACACAAAAAAAAATAAAAGGGAGATCCTATTGTTTGAAAAATATTAAGAAGACTTTGTTTCATTAAACTATTACCACTATTGATATTACCTGAAAAAGTATTAATTCTCGTCATATTGACGTATTTGTCACGTTTATATTTGATTCATTTGATTCGCATCATTTTAACCCTGGGTTAGACTTTACTTTACCTAACACCCTATATAAATAAATTTTTTTAAAGTAGTCAACACGTGATAAATACAATTGCGACTTGACCCTGGCTCAGGATAAATTAAAAACAACGTTTATCGCATGTAAAATAACAATTTTAAAAATAGATTTTTCTCTTAGTTTATTTTTTTTTGTTCTTATAATTCTAATACTAAACTGAATTTATGTAGTAAAATTTTTAAGAACAAAAAATATTCTCTTAATGATAAATAATTTCTGCCCATTGAAGTCTTTTAATTTAAGTCATACAAAATAAAAATAAATTTACGCCACTATAAATTTTATTAATAAAATTGATTCCGTTGGTTAAAAAAATCATTCGTTAAAAAGAAACGAGAATCATTAATTGTTGATTAGGATTAATTGTTGATTAGGATTTATGAGTTATTACGAGTTATTACAGCGCGGGAAGTCTATAACCAAAAATCTAATTTTCTTTAAATTTGACCAATAAAACTGTTCAAATTTTTTAAAAATAGTATTTTTGGATATATTTTCACAACTTCGAGCAGATCTTAACGTGATTTCTAAGCCAATAAGATTTTTTGAACGTGACTATAGCGGCAAAAAAGTGATTTTACGCGCATACAGAAAAGGTTCTTTTAAAGTTGATCTTATTTTGGGGTTAAAATTTTTGGTCCTAGACCTCCCACACTGTATTAATCTATGATATACTTTTTTTGTGCATTGGCATCCTAAGGAATTTTTGATTCGGTGATTTTTTTTATATTAATTGCGGTTATAAAAAACGCACGTAGCATTAATTGGAAAAATATAATTTATTAAATATGTTACGATATCTAATATAACATAATAATATAGATATATAATATTTATCGATAATCTATTTTAAATGAAAAAACAGAAATTTTCAAGAAAAATCAATTCAATTAATTAAATTATCAAATAATTTTCTTTATCTAATGTAAATTATATATGCAAAATCAAAAGTAAATGATTTATTGGAAACGATAAATAAAAAATTTTATTAATTATTAATCCACAAATTTATCCGCCAAACATTCATTAAAATATTCAGCAATTCTTCTTTTAAAATCATCTGTTCAATAGAAGGATATGAATTAGTAAAAAAAATCATTAAAAATGTTAAAATTTGTTATAAATTTAAAAATATTACTTTGATCAATAATTTCTTCTTCCAATAATTCATCCAAAAAATGTTTTCCAAGATTTTCTGTACTTGAATTACCGTCCGAATTTTCGAAATCATTTATTTGATTAGAATTACTATTGAAAAATTATTAAATATAGATAATTAGTAAAATTAATTCAAAAATCAATTAATAACTGAAGTATATTTTAAAAAATTTAAATTTAATACTTGATATCCATTATATCAAAGCGATCGTTAGAGAATAAATTATTATTAGACAATACATCTATAGAAATTACATATAAGAAATTTATTAATATAATAAATTATGCTTTAAAATCATTTAAACCAATAAAAATACCTGATACTGTTGAATTAATGAATTCTAACATGGAATTTAATGATATACTATAATATCTAGAATTGGGATGCTCATATCCTGGATTTTTTACAAATGGTTTTTTGGATTCAATCATTTTAAGTAGGTTTTTTTTCAACATTATCAAAATAATAAATAAAAATCAAATTTTTGTGAAAATTCATAAATTTCTTTTATCGTTGGTCGTTGTGATGGATCAGAACGTCAACATCTTTTCATTAAATTAGCCAAGAATCCTGGTGTATCTTCTGTAATTTCTGGTCTTTTTCCATCTAAAATATCTAATATAAGTTTTGATCCATGTTCTTGATCATAAAATGGTCTATGTCCTGATGTCAATTCCCACATAATCATTCCTAGACTATAATTATCTGTTTCATATGAATACGGTTGACTTTTAAATATTTCAGGAGCCATATATGGAATTATTCCATGTATTTGAGATTCTCTTGAAAGATTTGAATCAATATTTGCTGGTTGGCTAAATCCTAAATCTGAACTTGTAGCAGCTTTATAATCATAAGAATTTCTAAGAAGAATGTTACCACTATGTAAATCTCTATGTACAATTTTCTTATCATGAATATCTTTAATTCCCTCAATAATATCTCTTAAATATTTAATTTTTTCTTTCCATGTAAATGTTTCGAAGTATTTATGAATAAAGTGATGTAAGTCTCCATTTATTGCATATTCTAAAATAAATGCATAATTTTTAATTTGTTACTCCATGACATTCAATTATTCTTTTAACACCATATGCATTATCCCTGAACTGAAATGTATGTTTCAACTAAATTTTTCATATACAATAGTTATTAAATATTAATGAATTATAAATAAATAAAAAAAAAAACAAATCAATAAATATTATTATTACCTCGTTTAAAAATTCTATATCCACATTCTGGGAGTTACTTAGTACTTTCAAAACGATTTCTCGTTTTGAACGTTTAATTGTACCTTTGTAACTTATACGATCGTAGAATTTCCATGTTGCTTTAAAAATTTGACTGAAACCACCTTGCCCAATTTTCTCGATATTTGTAAATTCTTCAAAAGGAACCCATTCTAAATATGGATCATTATATTTTTTTGTTAACTATGATTCTTTGATGAAATTATTAATATTTTCATTGTCACTGTTACTAATTAGCGAGTTCATGGCAACACATAGTCGACATAATAATTGATTAGTAGAAATAATTTTTCTTATCATTGTGAACATTTTTTTGGTTTTTTATTTTCAATAAGAGTTTTATCGTTTTATTTGAAAATAATTACAGGCAGTGCAGTTTAACTTTACGAATTTATATTTTTTTTTTTGAATCAGATATTCCACATATACCGAATTTTTATAAAGAAGGTTGTGAAACAAATAAACATTGATTGTTTACTAAATGAGAAAATGTATGGAAAGAGAAATTTTTCATAGAAAGAAATCTTTTTATAAATCCTACATGCCGCCCAAATTCAGAAAGGAAATATTAACGTTAACAATAGGATTAGCAAAATTTTATTGTCAACATTTCCTTTTCTGAATTTGGGCATTAGAATTCTATACAATAATAAGTTTACGTGCAGTGATCGTTCGTTATTTATTAAATACGTACATATAAAATTATATAAAAAAAAATTTCCAAGAAAGAAATAATTATTTTAACGGAAATAATGAAAATAGAAAAGGTTCGCGTACTTAAACTTTTAGGTATAGATATATCTTTTATTATTATTTATATTTAATAAACTATATTAACCATTCTCGAAACGCGTATGACGTTTTATCTATTAAAATTTATATTTAATCAAATAATGTACAGTATATTACATAATATATATTGATATATGATAAATTAAAATGATCTAAAATTATCCAAATTAAGAATATTTCGGATTTTGAGAAAAATTAATCTATTATTTTTTAATTTTTTTTAATTAAAATATTTCATAAAATAATAACTTTCTTTATGAATTTTTTCATTTATTTATTAATTTTTTTTTTTCATTTTTAGGAGGTTGAACTTTGAGACTGCTGGGATACCTTAAAGTTGCAAGTGGATAAAGTTTCGAAGAAAGATTTTCCCATACCGACATGAAATAAATTTTTTTATTGATTATGAATGAACATCTCCTTTTATCCATATCAAGTTGTACGGTTACTCTTGATCCCGCTTTAATGGTTGTATTTAAAATTTTGATTCCTTGATTATTATTATGATAACAATAACCATCTAAACCTAATACCCAAGCATTTGGTTGACTACCAGAAAAGTAAGGAAAATTATAATCCTCCGAACAAACTCCGATCCAAGCAAATTTGGATTTCTTTCCTATAATAATATCCCATTCATAAATTCCATTCGTCATTAAATATTTAACTCTCGTACTTTGAGCCGTTTCCACTTCAATTGTGGTATTAACTTTTCTACCTTGATCTTCAATTATTAAATTAGGTCCAAGCATCAATTCATCCCATTTAAGTTCATTATTTTGAGAATTATGAATAATTATATTACTTGGTTCATGTGGTTTCGTGTTATATGGAATAGGTGGCGCAACTATGAATACTTCATTATCCGACGTAATTGGAGAATAATCTAAATTATTATTATTATTATTATTATTATTATTATTATTATTATTATTATTATTATTGTTTATTTCAAAGGAAATGTTTATATTGTTTATAATGTTTTCGGGTATAATTTTTAATGGGGCTAATACATTTATCAGAGATTTTTGATCTATACTATAAAAATCGATAAATTCAAATAAAGGATTGATGATTTCTGATATTCTTAAAGAAACAATTAAAAAATTATTATCGTTACTATAATCAATTTGATAATTATCTTGAAGAATTAGATTTGATGAAGGTAATCTATTTTCAAAGAAATTTTCAGCCTCTCGAGAAATAAGTCTCGCCGAAGTTAAAATTGCGTAACGTAAAATCGAATAACCATTATTCGAAAAGGAAGTAAATGAATTATCAATTGCAATTGTTCTTGATATTCTTGATAATAAACAATTAAGAGCTTCAAGGGATAATTGACCATAAGGTATATTATCTAAAGATATTTTAACAACATATTTAACTAATAAATCAATAAGTTCATTATTTGGTGGGGACATTATTCTAATGGTTTTTGATAATAAATAAGGTGAAAGATTATCCGAAAGATTTTCTAGAAAAGATTCTTGTAAATATTGAATTATAATATTTTGAAGTTCAACCAACTGAAAAAATTCCGCCGCATTAAAAACATCAACAGAATTTTCTATCTTTAAGAATTCTTTTTGAATTGATCCGGTATACATAAATTCAAGAATAATTATCATGGTAATTGAATCAATCTCTGAAAATATCATACGGAATCCTGCCGTATTTCTTTTATTATTAAATAAATAATGATTAAAAACATTCGAACGAGCGGCGAGAATTGCTCGACAACCATATAAAATTATTCCATCGTTACATTGAATTTCCAAATCGCTGTATCGTGAATTATTTATTAACAATCTCAAGTCATTAATCAAAGAATTTCCTCGTATTATAGTTGAAATACCTTTATTTTTAATAGAATTGAAAATTATGGAAAATTATTGTATATTATTGAATATTATTGAATATTATTAAATATTATTGAATATTATAGAAAATTATAATATATTATAATATAGAATATTATTAAAAATTATACAAGTTATACGTACTTGAGTTACTCGAAATTGAAGAACGGTTATCAAAATTTTGAAAAACTAGAATTAATATTCGAAAAATATTTAAAAAAATATATTAATAATTAAAGAAAGCAAAAAAATAATAATTTCTTAGTAATTAAAAAAAAAAAAAAAAAATTTGAAGACCTACTATTAATTATTTCCATTATTCGTCGATGACATCGAATTCAAAATAAAAAAGAGTATTGTTTAAAATTATTGAAATTAATATATACATATAAATATATTAATCGGGTTAAAAAAGAATTCTTCTCCGAAATGCATGATGCACGTAGTACCCAAAATACCAGGTTTGTGGTAAAAAAATACATTTATTGTTTATCTGTTATAAGTAATTATAGTAATTTTAGGTAAACCATTTAACAAATTATGGTAATTTTAGGTAAACATTTAACGAATAATGACATCGATTTATTACATTATATGTAATGATATACTTGATGTACTGTACATCTGATTATCCCATGAATAAATTTAATAATTAAAAAAAAGGATGTCACGTTGATGATGATTTTATAGTCAAGAAAATATTCACCAAAATTATCATCATCATGAACGAATTAGTAAACGTGGAATAATTTTTTATTAAATGATAAAATAATATAAATCTTATTTAAATAATTATTAATAATAACACAACGAATAAATGAATAAATAATATATTTTAAGTAATATTTTCAATTTCTACCATCAAACAAAAATGATCAGAACTGAACTTATTATTTGGTAAAAATAATCCAATTTCGTTCTCAGAAGGCATTCTCAATAAACTTAGTACTCTTATTTCTTTTATTTCATTATCTAAATTATCTAATTTGTTAATTTTTTCAGTTATATTATCTTTTATTAACTTCTCTTCAATATACTTACATTCCTTCTGACATTCCTTCTTACCTTCTCCTTCTTCTTCTTCTTCTTCTGATTCTTCTGGTGCTTCTTGTCCTTCTTGTCCTTCTTGTCCTTCTGGTTCTTCTGATTCTTGTTCTACACGATCTCGTTCTTCTTTAATAATTTTTAATGTCTCGCCTGTTTGATAAACATTATGACGATGAGAAGATTTATTGACGTGAAAAATATAATCTAATGCCCCACTGAAAAATTTTCCATAATTTGTAAATTTAGGTTCGTTGTGTTTCACATTCTCGGGATCTATTAAAGAATAATATTTTGAGTAAAGTGATATGCATTGAGGAAATTCAGAGAATTTTAAAAGTAAATCAAGAAGTGTAGGTGATGGTGAAGATATTAGTGTATTTAGGGGTGGTTTAATTAAATCACCAGTTTTTGATGATTCGATTGAAGCTGTTGTCAAAGATGGTACCATTGACGATGATGATGATGGATTATCGGTAGTATTCAACAATGTTCGATCACTTTTCTGATCAATCACTATTGATTCATTTTTTTTTATAACCCCTGATGACGTTGATGACGATGATGATGATTTGTCTTTAGGTTTAGATTCTTCATCTTCATCGACATAATGTTTCATTGAATCCTTTAAATTCTTAATTTCTTCTTTAGTCAATGGATCTTTTCCTATCATTAATTTATATGCTGGATCTATAGGTGACGAATTGAAATCTAAAAAATGAACATAAAAATTGTTAAATTAACTTTAAATAAAAATTCCAAAATAATTCACGTTAAATGGAAGAAAAGAATTTATTTAACCTCCAACCATAAATGCAACAAATCCAAATTCTTCATTAATTTTTATTAAATTTTCGAATAATAATAGACACTGCCTAGTACGTTCATACATGCATTGAGGTCTCCAATATAGATGAGTTGTACCTATTACTATTCCTGATTTTGAAGGATTAGGTTTATCATTATTGAAAAAATTTTGATTAAATTCAAGAGAAACGATGACACCTATACAATTAGTTGGCATTGTGGGTACCCCAATCTGATCAAATTCTAATGTAAGATGTTTTAATTTTTTAAATTTAATAATCTTCCAAATTATACAACAACCTATTACGATTTGTCAAAATGTTTGTTAAAATAAATATTAAAATAAATGTTATTAAAAAAAAAAACGAATGAATATAAATAATAAATAGAATTAATTAATTTAATCGATTATTTATATATATACCATGTCTTTTTTTATCATTTCCAATACTTTTATAAAAAAATGTTTCATATCCAACTTTTTCAAATTCAGGTTTAAAAGTGCTATTGTAATTATCGTAATCCATTTCTTGAAAGCATGCCACATCAGGATGATAATGTAATATTTCTTTAATTAATTGTGGTCGTCGATTTTTCCATTTGAGTGCATCACCGCTTTCGGGATAAAGATCGCGTCGACAAAGTGATTGAGCAAGAATCTATCATTATCAAATGAATATTTTAAATAACGTTATTTTTATTTTATTAACTTTTCAAAAAAAAAAACTTCTATACGTACATTATAAGTCATGATGGTTATACTCTCTTGGTGATCATCTTTACTTTCTGTATTTAAAGGTAAAGGAACCATTTTTCTCAAAAAAGGTTCAGGTTGTTCAGGTTGTTCTGGTTGTTCTCGTTGTTGTTGCGCCTTTGTTTTTTGATGCTGCTTTCTTGATTCTTTAAGAATTTTTTTTTGTTGTATTTGTTCTTTCCTGGTAATGTTCTGAGTTTTCTGACGTTTATTTTTTTTATTTTCTAATTTTTGTTGTTGAGGTTCCATGATTTCATGTTCAGAAGGTTCGGACATTTCGAGATTTAACAAAAAATAATATATTTGATGATATTTATAGAAAAAAAAAATTCTAATTTGACATTTTATTTTATGGTTTCACAAATTATCTGAATCGGAATTAGATATTACTTTGCACAGTAGATGTGTAATTGTAGATCCAAATAAAAATCTATATTAGGTCTCTAATAGTACTTCGGAATATACTACAAAGACAAATTTTGCATCAAAAAATATAAAAAAAAAACGAAGATAGTGAAATAGAAAAGATATACCCGAGATTGATATATCATTCCTTTTCTTTTTTTTTTGTTGTATGGTTGCTTCGGGAATAATTTCTTCGAGTGGTGTTTATAATGCACGTGATCGTGTTGCTGCTGTTGAGCGGTGATGTGATAAGGTTAATTTTTTATTAAGGTGAAATATGGCAGAATAAAGAGTTTAAAATATTATAGGAAAGTTTTAAGTGTATTAATAGAAATTTGGGTCGCGTCGCGTCAAATAGAATGTCATGATTACATGTCATCGATTACATTATATCGGATAATTGATTTTAAAGATTTTAGAGATAAATGATAGATAACTGATAATAAGAATTTTATTCATTATATAATATTTAATCTATATATAATAAAATTATAATAAAAACATAATTAAAGAGGAAAATTTTTGTTAATGTATTCAAAAATAGTACATTTTAATTTTGCGTCATTGATAATGAGAATGAAAAAACAAAAAACTTCGTTGGATTAGAAATTTCTGAGAAAAGAAAATAGTTTCTAGAATTATTAGACATGATATTTGAAAAAATTTTCATAAGAATATAAATGAAACGAAATATGTCAAACATTCTTTAACCATGTATATAAAAAACATCACCAATTTCTTAATCTAGAACTAGCTACTGTATTTGATTTTATAAGTTCTATCAATTACACATACGTAAATGATTTGCAGATGTTCACGGCATGGAAGAAATAATCTTTTGATTTTTTGGTATACCCGGAAATCAACTTTTTACGTAAATAATTATTGAGTTAATTTAATATACATTTAATATTAAGATTAAAATTTGAAGGTTACAGATCACTTTATCTGTTATTGTTTCAACCCAAATACCTACCCAACATTAGAAATTGTTGAAATTAAAAAAATAGAATAAATTTAATAAATTTCAGAATAAATTAAACATAGGTAAACATTTTAAATATTTTTTACTCAAGTAATTTGATAAAAAATATCTACTCAAAAAGAAATAATGTATCCAATGATAGTACAATTGACACCACCACACTTCAATTATTATTACAATATTATTGGGAACTACAAAGAAAAAAATGCGTCTTCAAACCATCTTTAAATTATTTGAGTTGAAATTCTGGATTTTGGGAGGTAAACAATATTTTTATTGTATATTTATAATATTCTTTGATATATAGATTCGCCACCAGTGTAGTGGAATTCAATAAAATCAGTATTATCGGGATTGCTTCTCAATTATTCAAACAACCATTAATTAGTTTAACTAATTGGATCTGGATCAAAGTGATTTATGGTTGAACAGAATTAAAGCTTGTTGAGATTTCTTAGCAGAGCACAAGAGTAACATTTTAGCTATTTGCGTTTGTGAAAGTTAAAGAAACACATAATACCTGTTGATACAATCTATTTAAGAAAAAATTGTTCTTTTAATATTTCACATTCACGCAACAAATCTAAATCTAACTGTAATAATGATATTTAAAGGACAGTAATTTTTATTTATTTTATTATTTTTTTTATTATTTTTTATTCATTTTATTGTTTTTTATTTATTTTATTATTTATTATTTATTATTATTATTATTATTATTTATTATTGTTATAATATAAAATTTAAAAGTTCTCACAAATTTAGATATTATTAAACTTTCAATAAACCCCAACCAATTTCTCATCCTTTTTAATATTATAAATAGTAAAATTTCGATAAAATTTTTAAAAATATATAATAAATGTAAAATAACTTTATTTAAATATAATGATTAAAAGATAAAAAACAATTGTTAAAAAATAAAATAAATAGTACATAAAATAAAAAATATAAAAATAATAAGATAATTCGATAATAAAAAAAGAAACAAATTTATCCCCATATTGATCAAGATAAAAAAATAAAAAATAAAAAAAAATTTATGAAATATAAAATAAAATGGTACAAAATAAAAAAATTAGGATCATATTAATTACCTTAAGAATCATTTGAATTATCAACATCAACAACATTATTAAGCATTATTAAACGTTAATTGCTCAAATTCTAGAATTACAAGATACAACAAATTAAATTAAATGAATTATTCCTTTAAATAAATATTTGATCGTATCATATTAAAAAATTAATAAAATATTACCTTCAGGAATTATGAAATCAAATTGCTTAGTTTCATATGCTAAATATAAAATATACAAAACTACATTAATATAGATCAGATTAAATTAGTGATTTTTTATTGAATTAATGATTTGATTATTTTACCTAGTTGTTCTTCTATAAAAATAAAAGATCAATAAATCAATTAATAAAAATATAACAAAATAAATAAAATATATTTTAAAAAAATACATTACCTTCTGTGGCATTTCTAGGTTGAGCTGAAATACTAAATGCATATACTTTACTGGTTTGAATTTTTTGGCTACTTTTATCTTTTGTTAAATTTGATTGGGAAGAATTTGATTTTGAACTATTAGATTGAATAGTTGGTACTTGTTGTTGCTTATCCATTTCATTATATAATGACCGAATTAATGAATTCATTTTATTACGGATTTCACATGCGTCAGGTCTATTATCAGGATTAGCATCCCAACATTGTTTCATTAAAATTGAATATTCATATGGAATATATTTGTAAATTTTAGGTCGGCATCCATTAATTATTGCAAGAACAAAATCTGAATCAGAATTAAACTTGTAGTTGCTAAAGGGAGTTTCACCAGTAATCACCTCCCACATTATAATACTTAAACTATACACATCTGATTTTGTTGTATCATTTTTTTTACATAAAACTTCAGGTGCAATGTATGGGAGATTCCCATAGATACTATCTAATTGTTTGCTAACTGGTCCACTCAATCCCAAATCACTAATAAGCCAGAGATTATTTTGTGCACGATATAAAATATTTCCTGAGTGCAAATCTCTGTGTATTATATTTTGGTGATGAATTTTATTTAAACTACCTGCCATATTACGAATAATATCATATTTTTGAAATAATGTAAGTGATTGACAATTATCTTTTAAAAAATGTTTTAAATCATTATCAAAATAAAATAAAACTAACATATAATCTTGGGTGGTTGGATCTTTAGTTAGTCCGTAACATGGTGCAAGAAATCGGGAAGTATTATCAAGTTTGAAACTTAATGTCACCTATTAATTTTTTGTAATTATGTAATTAATATTTCTGAAGTATTAAACAGAATATAACTGATAATAAAATAATAATTTAACTTACTTCTTGAAACCAATGCACATTATTATTATTTGAATTATTTAATCTTTTCAAAACAATCTTTTTTCTTCCAAATCTTTCTAATATTTGTCTTTCGGAATTCCATTTATTATAATATCCATCTTTCCAAAATGCTGTATAGATAGTAGCACATCCTCCTTTTGCGAGATATTTGACATTTTCAAATTGATCATAACTAATCCACTCAATTACATTATAAGGTGTTACAGTTATTTGCTGACATTCTTGAATTAATTTGTCAATTTCTTTATTTCCAGATGTCCAATTTCCGAAATTATTTTCTAAATATTTACGAATACAAAATTCGCAATATTGGGTTGCCTGATGCCAATTCTGACAATTGTTGCATTGTTGTTTTTCTACAGAATTCTTGGTAATTCTTAATCCATCATATACTTTTTGTAATTCATTAAGTAAAAAATTCTTTTCATTTTCTGTGAGAGATGAATCGTTTTCGACGATTTCTTTTCGATATTTTTCTTGCTCAGTAAGTGTTTTCTGAATATTGTAGTTTAAAGAATAATATGATTTGTCCCAAACTCCTTTTAATTTAGAATTCCATTCAATTTCTTGAGTAGTCATTTCTTACTTCATTTAAAGTCAATGTAATTTAATGAATAAATAATTAGTTAAATTATTTAAATTGACTTGAATTATTTATTAGTTATTGGAATATAATGTGCGTAGGAAATTATATATCGGGCAAATAATATTAAAATATTACAAGACGCAATTATAATAAAATATTTAATTCTCCTCTTATCTAGGAGTTGTAGGTCCGAAATTTAGTACTTTTGTTTAACCAATCAGCAATTTGCGTAAAAATTAGACTTGCTGGTCAGGTGGAACTGGTGAAACTGGACCAGGTGATTTTTGGTGAAATATATATATATAATCGATATTATTAATATTCGCGTACCTTTTCTTTTACCACTGATTCCACCCATATACCACAATTATGGCTCCATGGAAATAAAGAGGAGAAGGAAAGTGAGGAGAATAGGTAAGTAAATTATATATATATGTATATATATCTAATAAAAAGAAATAAAAATACTTACGTCCATACGTCCATTCCACGATTTTATTCCATGGAAAGAAGAACCATATGCCCGCAATTACAGTATCATTAAAGTAAATGAGAGGAAAAAAAAGGTTAAATTTTTTTTTATTAATGAAAAAATAAAAATTTACATCTTTACGACCATCCATACTTTCATTCCACGATTCACCAATTTCGTGAAAAGAAAACCCATATACCTGCAATTACAGCTCCACAGAAGTATAGGAAAGAAGGCAAGTGTGGAAAAAGGTGTGCAAATTGTTTTACTTATATAATTTTTTTAACTAAAAAAAAATAAATAAAAAATACTTACGTCAGTATGATTGTCCGTACGTCCATTCAGCGATTCTACTGATTTCATGGGAAGTGGAAGTAATATACCCGCAATTACGGCTCTACAGAAGTAAAGGAAAGATTGCAAGTGAAGAAAAAGTTAAGTAAATTATTTTATATATAATTTTTTATAAAAAAAATAGAAGAAAATGCTTACATCCATTCATCAATTTTCATGATTCCGCTGATTCTATGAAAAGCTTTTAATTTAAAAATGATTCCCAAGGCACCAGGTAAATTGAAAATTGAACTAATTGAATTCCTATGATAAATAATGGCAATGATTTATCAATAATTTACATATCTCATTCTCTATTTAGTATTGGTGATGTCATGATAGAAATTAAATGTGGTATTAGATGGAAGTTTTAGAGTGAAAATAATGGAGAATATACAGTATATCATATTGATTCTTATTATAGATTTATTATTTATTTTATTTTATTTGTAATATAAAATTTATCATATTAATTTTCGAAGAATAAATTGAAATCTCCATCAATAATCAATTTGATATTTAAAATCAAAAAAAATAAAATTCATTTTCATCATTTAAAACTCTTATTCCATATTACCATTATGATGACTTCTTTCAGGCCTATTATTAGATATTAAAATATCACCCAAAGATAAAAATTCTGGTAATGCTAACTTACAAATTGACATAAATCTAAACTAATTGGTGATACCAATTCATTATTTTCATCATCTGAACTATTTTCTAATTCTTCATTTTCATTTAAATTTCCACTTTCCCCTAAATTTACACTTTCCTCTAAAATCTCTAAATTTACTTCCTTTTCTAATATCCCACCTTCAAATGCATTATATGTAATTACTGATTCATCAATATTTTTATGTAATTAATTTTCATTTACATTCTTATCATAAAATTTAAGTTCTTTTTCAGAATTTGAAACATAATTAGATCTGATTTTTGCCATAGATTCAATCTGTAACAAATTTAATTTTGTATGTTGTTGACCAAGATTCACCTTCAAAGGAATTCGATAAACTAGCAACTAAAAGCAGGGAAAATATGTATAGCTAAACTAAACAACTATACTAAATATGCTATTGTTTGCAGTTGTGCCATATAAAATTTTGTTCAATGATCGAAATTTTACTAAGTGCCGGTTGTCGATGTCAATCATCCATTTGCAAAAAATCAGAATTACTAATTTGGTACAAAAAAAAAATTTTTAAAAATTCTTCAAAATTTAAAGATTAAAATGAGTATAGTAACTATTGTTCTAAAATCAATCGTTCAGGAGGCAGAATTTTTTAAAGGCAAAAAGTCAGGTGATGCAATACTTTTGATGGCCACTGTATCAGGATCGCTTATGGTGAATAGAATTAAAGCTTAAGATTTCGTTTTGAACAACATTTTAGTTATTTGTGTTTGTGAAAGAAACAACCTATTTAAGAAAAAAATTGTTCTTTTAATATTTAATATTCACGAACATAACAAATCTAAATCTAACAGTAATAATGATATTTAATGGAAAGTAGAATTATTTTTTATTTATTTTATTATTTTTTATTTATTTTATTTATTATTTTAATTTATTTTATTATTTTTATTTATTTTTTATTATTTTTATAATATAAAATTTTAAAGTTCTCAAATTAATATTATTAAATTTCCAAAAAACTAAATTTCTGATTCCTGTTAATATTATAAACAGTAAATTTTAAATGTAAAATAACTTTATTTAAATTAATGTTTTTTTAAAAAAATAAAAAAAAACAATTGTTAAAATAATAAAATAAATAGTACATAAAATAAAAAATATAAAAAACTAAAATAATTCTATAATAAAAAAAGAAACAAATTTAGTCATGAGACCCAACTTTGATCAACTAAAGATAAAAAAAAAAAAATAAATTTATGAAATATAGAATAAAATGGTACAAAATAGAATCATATTAATTACCTTGTGAATTCTCAACATCATCAATATTATTAAGCGCCAGTTCTAGAATTACAAAATACAACAAATTAAATAAATATTTAATCATATCATATTAAAAAAATTAATAAAATATTACCCTCAGGAAATTCAAGATCAAATTGTTTGGTTTCATATTCTAAATATAAAATGTACAAACTACATTAACATATATCATAATAAATTGGTGATTTTTTATTGAATTAATAATTTGATTATTTTACCTAGTTGTTCTTCTATAAAAATAAAAGATCAATAAATTAATTAATAAAAATATAACAAAATAAATAAAATTTATTTTAAAAATTTATTACCTTCGGTGGCATTTCTAGGTTGAACTGAAATACTAAATGTATATACTTTACTGGTTTGGAATTTTTGGCTACTTTTATCTTTTGTTAAATTTGATTGGGAAGAATTTGATTTTGAACTATTAGATTGATCAATTTCATTATAGAATGACTGAATTAATGATTGTATTTTACTATGAATTTCATTTGCTTCAGGTCTATTATCAGGATTAGCATCCCAACATTGTTTCATTAAAATTTCATATTCATATGGAATATATTTGTAAATTTTAGGCCGACATCCATTAATTATTGCAAGAATAAAATCTGAATCAGAATTAAACTTATAGTTGTTAAAGGGAGTTTCACCAGTAATCACCTCCCACATTATAATACCTAAGCTATACACATCTGATTCTGTTGTATAATTTTTTTGACATAAAACTTCAGGTGCAATGTATGGGAGATTCCCATAGATACTATTTAATTGTTTGTCAACTGGCCCACTCAATCCTAAGTCACTAATATACCAGATATTACTTCGTGCCAAATGTAAAATATTTCCCGAGTGCAGATCTCTATGCGTTATATTTTTTTCATGAATTATATTTAACCCTATTGCTATATGATGAATAATATCATATTTTTGTAATAATGTAAGTGATTGATAATTATCTTTTAAAAAATGTCTTAAATCATTATTATAATAATTTAAAACTAACATATAATCTTGGGTGGTTGGATCTTTGGTTAGTCCGTAACATGTTGCAAGAAATCGGGAAGTATTATCAAGTTTGAAACTTAATGTCACCTATCAATTTTTTGCAATTATGTAATTAATATTTCTGAAATATAAATGGAATATAATAAATACAATAATAATTTAACTTACTTCTTGAAACCAATGCACATCATTATTATTTGAATTATTCAATCTTTTCAAAACAATCTTTTGTCTTCCAAATCTTTCCAATATTTGTCTTTCAGAATTCCATTTACAATAGGGCCCATCTTTCCAAAATGCTGTATAGATAGTAGCACATCCTCCTTTTGCCAGATATTCAACATTTTCAAATTGATCATAACTAATCCATTCAATTACACCATTAGGAAATACAGTTGTTTGCTGACATTCTTGAATTAATTTGTCAATTTCTTTATTTCCAGATGTCCAATTTCCAAAATTATTTTCTAAATATTTACGAATACAAATTTCACAATATTCGATTGCCTGATGCCAATTCTGACAATTGTTGCATTGTCGCTTTTCATCAGAATTATTATTAATTCTTAAGGTATCATATAATTTTTGTAGTTCATTAATTAAAAAATTCTTTTCATTTTCTGTGAGAGATGAATCATTTTTAACCATATTTTTTCGGCATTCTTCTCGCTCAGTAATTGTTTTATCAATATTGTTTAGAAAATAATATCCTTTATCCCAAACTCCTTTTAATTTAGCATTCCATTTAATTTCTTGAATATCCATTTCTTATTTCATTTAAATTTAATATAATTAATGAATACTTAATTAATTAATATATAATTTTTGTTTAATTTATTTTCAAACAAAAATATAATCTAAATTACCGTGGGTTAGGGGGGGAATATATCAATATAAGATTTATTATTTAAATTGACTTGAATTATTTAAATATATGTACGTAGGAAACAAATAATATTTAATCGCAGGTTGATATTTAACTATTTAATATTCATATTAGTTATTGATTATGAAATGGATATACAACATTAGCCGTGTATGGCTAATCGTTTTTTTTTTTGATTTTGCACATAAATTTTATTACTTATTGACGAAATTTTACAATATTATAGCGAATTCGAAACAACATCGCAACCATATCTAAACCTTCACCACTAATTTTCCAATCGTATTAGTTTTTTCGATCTATTGAATTGTTCAAGGCATTATATTGCATATCGTCATCGTCTATTTGTTTTATATATCTGATATAATTTTTACGGATATCAGAATATGTGAAAATTTTAACCCGAAACGCGTTAAACCTTTCAATGACATGCAAGTATGAGTCGCTGGGATAAGATTTGCAGCAATTTGACTTCGTCTAGAATATTTTTTCTCTAACGGGTGAATGCCAAATTCGAATTTTAATTAGCGAAATAAATGTAGAAGCCAAAAAAAAAAGATTTAATTTTCTCCACTTGTTTGAATGTTCAAGAAAAAAGTCGTACCGGATTCCTTTTAGAGAATGAGGAATGATAAAAGTTATGTTAATGAACGAGTTATACTTGTTGAGTAAGTTAACGAATTCACTTTTATAATTTAATTTATTAATTTATTTATTATTAATTATTATTTTTATTAACATTATTAATATTATTAGTGATGCAGCACTTACGATTCATGCTGGACAAGGATTGTGATGTTTAACTCAAGTTATTGACTACTGGTCAAGATTTGGGTAATTTATTTTTTTTTCTATAATAATTATTATTATTGTTATTTATTTATTATTTATTACATTGTAATTAAAGGTACTCTTCTGAGAAATATTTATCATATGTTTTGATGATAGATCATTATGATTAGAAATATCAATAGAACTGTTCCTTTGAAGGTATATATCATTTATTTTGTATACAATTCAGCTCGAAAGGGAATAGATCTCGTTGTATGATTATTCTGGTTAAATTAGATATTTGGGTTGATTACTATTATTGATATTATCATCATTATCAATGTAGCATTAAAATTAATTCCATCTACTAATAATACCAATATCTACATATATTCATTTCGTTTTCTTGAATCACTTTCTTCTATCTAAGAATCATTTTCTTGTTTAATGATTAATTGATTGAATTGATTAAATACCATTTACAAATATATCGAATCAGTATATAATAATAATAACTAGATAGCTGGGCGACCTGTGGTCGCGCTAAAACCAGGAACGGAGTACTTTGGTTCATTTAATTGATTGGTGTTGGTGCAATTAATTCTTTGACTTCTATTATAACTTTCTGAAATAGGTAAAGAGAAGAGGTTTTGCTCGAATTTTATATATTAAGACAAAGTAAATAGCTTCTTTTTTTAAATTTGTTCGTTCGTTTCTCAAAACATTTTGGGTTTCTTGGTCGTAAGCATGAGATCGGGTTTATAGGCAATAAATGAATATTTTCTTGAATTATTTAGGTAATTTCTTGATTAGTGTATATCAATTAGATTTTCAATTTCTATTCCCTCGATCTAGAAGAATTCAGCCCTACTAATATTTGTATTGTAAAATTATTTTTCCCTCTTATTAAGCCGAGAAGTGAACTAGATCTTCTATTTTCCGTTTTATTTATTTTCTGTTGTATTAATTTCTATTTCTTGCGCCGCAAACGATCTGCACTTTTCATTTCGTTACGCCAATTTCCGTTTTTCGTAAATCCCTTGATCTAGGAAGATTTCATTACGCCTTCCGCTTGCTCTCACTTTGTTAAGCGCAGGATCGTTCACCAAAAAGAAGTTAGTGCAAACGATCCGTTATATAAAACTCGCAGATTATGCCGATCCCGATGGCGTAGACAAAATTGTTTTCCCTCACTTTTATTTCACTTATTTTGGCATAGAGAAACTCCTTCGATCTTTCAACCTGTTTTCTATGGCTTCCTGGCCTATTTACCTCACATCAAATCTTTAGTAGCTTTTCTAGTAATGCAAATTTTATCAGCAGCTTCCCCATAATTGTATTAAACAAATTTTGTTAAAAATAAAAAGGATGCAATTTAAGACCAGTGAATCTAAATATAACACCTTTAATAGAATCCAGGATCCCTATAATAAAGTTGTTCTCCTGATATTATTTAAAACTAGATGAATTCATGTTTGACATAATAATTGATTAGTAGAGTAATTTTCTTATTTTGAGCATTTATATTTTTAATCATTTTAATCCTGTTATTTGAAAATACAGATAAAGGTTTGAATTTTACAAATTTAGTCGGTTCTTCGGAGATAACCACTAGAACAATGATAAGTAATTCCAGTATAGGATATTTCAATATGGCTTTTGATAATAACGGATAAATCTAAAAAAACCAATAAGCTGTTTAAGTTTAAAAGAAAACTTATTAATATATTGTAATTATGCCAAAAGTGTTTTCAGAACAACTTCTTTAACTGTTGACAGTGGCAATAGAAACATTAGTGATTTGATTAAACAAATTGTTATCAAAAAAATTGTAACAATAGGTCAACCAATTTTAGAATGGACAAATGTTGAATATATTGAAAAAGGTGACTTAGTCGGATTTATAAAGCAAATTTTTAAAAAAAAACTCGGTATGGGTAATAGAGTATTAAGGAATGGAGTAAAAGGAGACAGATTAAAGTCTTGGAAGAATTATTTTAATTTTAGATTAATCCGTCCCGTAAGGCGAGACGTTATTTATAATTATTATTATATTATTATTACTATTGTCATTAAATTATGGGAAGAATAGAATAAAGAATTTATGATTACGGTGGTTGTTAAACCAAATAGATTAGTTGATTCTGTTGTTACACTATACAGTATTTAAGAAATCATTTTATTTTACCTTTATTATTATCTAAATATTTTCAAAATAATACTTTTTATTTTGAGTAAATAGAGAATTGATTAAAATTAATGATTAGATAAAAAATATTACAATCTATCGCTTTTAATTTTAATAAATTTTTTTTCTTTAGAAATTAATTATTTATTAGAAGGTTTGAATTTATCTTGTTTCTGTGTTCATTATTAAAATCGAATGAGTTATTTTTTTTTTTTTAAAAAAAAAAAAGAGACTTTATTTAAATAAAAATATATATAATACTGTAAATGTGAAATATTAATAAGAAATAAAATAAAATAGAAATAATTCAATTAATCAATTTTTCTTCGTTTATGATCATCTGTTTAATATAAAAAATAAAAAAAATAGTGATACAAAGTAAATTTATTATAATAGAATGAAATTTAAAAATATTACTTTGAACTTCATGATTTCTTCTCGTGGCGGCGATTCGTTTCCACACTTAAATTACCGTACGAATTTCGAATTTTCTAAATCATTTATTTGATTAGAACTATTCAAAAACTATTAAATTATAGATAATTAGTAAAATTAATTTAAGATCAACTAATAACTTTATTAAATTAAATAAAGCGTGTAAAATATTATAAGTTTATATACTTGATATCAAAATGGTCATTAGAGAACAAATTATCGTTAGAGAATCTATCTGTGGAAATCATATATATGTTATTAATATAATGAATTATTTCATTTTAAAAATTATAAATCATTGAATTAATTCTACAATATCAGATATTTAATTATTTTAATGATGTACTATAATATCTAGAATTGGGATGCTCATATTCATGAATTTTTTACAAATGGTTTTTGGATTTGACCATTTCAAGTCGTTTTTTTCTGCCTCATTAAATTCTAACCAATTATCAAATTCATCCGGATATTTTTTTTTATAATCTTCAGAACAACAATAATTATCATTAAATTTTCCCAACATTCTGGTGTATCTTCTGTTATTTCTGCTCTTTTTCTATCTAAAATATCTAATATAAGTTTTGGTCCATGTTCTTGATCATGAAATGATCTATGTCCGGATGTCAATTGCCACATAATCATTCCTAAACTATAAATATCTGATGCATATGAATAAGATTGACCTTTAAAAAGTTCTAGTGCCATATATAGAATTATTCCATATATTTGAGATTTTCTTGAAAGGTTTGGTTTAAAATAGTTGCTGGTTGACTAAATCCTCAATCTGAAATAATAGTTCCATTAATAAAAATATTGCCACTAACAAGAATATCGCCACTAATTAGAATATTGCCGCTATGTAAATCTCGATGCATAATTTTCTTCTGATGAATTTTTCTAATTCCTTCAACCATTTTCCTTAAAGATCAATTTTTCCTCGCCACGATATTTTTGAAAAGTTTTTATTCAAATAATAATGCAAGCCTCCATCTTCTACATATTCCAAAATAGATGCATAATTTTTAGTTATATCATTCTTTATCGCACATGATAATTTGGTGATATTTTTTCACAGGAAATAAAATTCTATACCAATCATAGTGGTATGTATTTTTGATATTTAAAAATTCAATAATTAATTACATATTTAGATTAAATTAAATATAAAACATCCACATTTATACTATTTAAAATCAAAATAGTCCATCTCTTTTTAATTATTAAAAGCATTAGTCTCCGTAGAATAAATCAGATATCACCATGATGATTGATGATATTCACATTTTCACAAAAAAAAAACTCTTTGTTAATAATGGTTCAAGTTTAGATGATTTTAATAAATCCTCTATGTGCATTCTTCTTATTTTTTAATAAATTGCATCCCATCGTATTTCTTCTTCTAAGTCCTTTCTGATTTCTCCTGGATTTCCGAGATCATTCGCGGTTGTTACTTGTATTCTGCAGGTGATATGTACCCAAAATTTATGTTTTGGTTTACATTCCTTCGGTGGTTTCTCTTCTTCCTGTCCCTTTTTTCGTGTTTTGTCTTCAAAGAATATTTGTTCTATATTTTGTCCGACTTCTTTTTCTGTTTTCCAGTGTCGGTTTACTCCTACTTCTTTTCTCTTTATTTTTGTGTTATTTAATTCTATTTTTTGTTCTCCGGTCCCTTTATTTATTATTATTATTGTTGGTCCGTTTTTTTTATACATTATTATCCATTCTTCTTTTTTCATTTTACTTTCTCCTATTATTAGATCGTATTGTAATTCTTTTACGACATATACTTCTTCATGATAGGTATATTCTTTTATTTCCCCTTCTATAATTGCTGTTCCGATTATTACAAGTTTATTGTCTCCTCCTACCAGCACATTTTCTTCTTTGATTAATACTGGTATTCGCATTTCTTCCACGAGTTTTTCTGATACAAAGGAGTCACTCGCTCCACTATCTATTAACGCCCTTATTTTCTTTCCTTTTATTCTTACTTCTGCAATTAAAACCATTTTTTTAATTTTCTGACATTTCGGCGTACGATTCTTTTTGCTTCTTTATATACTTTTTCCCATACTGATTCTAACCGTTCTCTTCTTATTATGTCTTTTTGTGCTTCCGTTATTCGTTTTTGTTGTTTTAGTTGTGCGTTTAATCTTTCAATTTCTTTTTCTTTTTCTTTTATTATTAATTCTTTTTGTTCAATTTCGATTTTTTTCTGTTCTTCTTTTATTCCGAGTAGTTCTTTTCTTGCTCGTTCTTTTTCTTCTTTGATTTCCGTTTTTCTTGTATTTCTTTTTCCACTTCATCAGCCCATAATATTCTTTTTGATCCCTCGGCTTCATTTTGTTCATTCCATTCTTCTTGTTTTTCTATTTCTTTGTCTATTTGTTGTCCTTTTACTACTTCGGCATACGTTGCCTTTTCTTTTCCCTTTCCTTTTTCTTGTTCTTGGTATTCTATTTCGCAGTCTTCACAATATTCCTTTCCTTCGTTTCGCGGCATTAAGCATTCTTTACAAAATCCCATTTTTATGTCCTGTAGTTTTTCGTATCCTTTTCGTATGTACCATTTTAAATTTTTTTCTTTCTCCCTCGTAATGGAATGTTTCTTCTATTATTCTTTCCATTTGTTCCATTTCTTGAGTAAACTCTTCCGTTGGTTCCGATTCATCCATTTGTCTCATTATATTATTTAATCTTATTTCTTCCTCTAGTGTCCATCCTCTTCCTGTGTGAGTCCATTCATCCTCTTCCCGTGGTTCTTTTGCTTGTCTTAGTTGTTCGTCTGTTATAAGTTCTCCTTCCCTATATTTTCTGAAATATAGTCCCGCCAGTCTTACTATTCCAGTCTTGTTATTACTATATTCTCTCGTATTTCTAAATCGTTTCCCCGTTCCCTCGGTTCTTCTTCGTACTTCTTCCCGTATTTCAGTATATCGTACTGCTTCTGTTGCTGCTGCCAATGCTACTTGGCATTCTAAATCACATATATTTTTTTCATGACTGTATCCTCCCTGTTTTCTTCTTCTTGGGAATTTCCCTTGACAAACGTCACATATCACTACCTTTTGTCGTTCCCATTCTTCAGGTATTTCTTCTCCTAATTCTAATTTTTCTTCATTCTCACTGTCTTCACAAGTTTGGAATTTTGCTTTTCCACATAACCTGAAAGTTAATTTATCTTCTTTTGCGATTGTTTTACATTTGCAACAGTGTTGCCGAGTTGTCCTTTCATTTCCTCCGAAGTGGGTTTCAATACTTCTTGGATTACACCCACACTTCCAACTCCAGTTATTTTTTATTCCCATTTTTTGTACATGTCTTACTATTTCCCACTTGTTTATATCATACCATGTTTCCTTACCATTTTCGCATACTTCACATGCATATGTGATTCTCGGATCTTCGCCTTCTCGTTTACAATTTCTTAGTTCATGTATATCCATTAACCCTTTACACTTGCAGCAATGGAACTCCTTAGTTCCGTATTCTCCAAGTATTTTTCTTAAATATATTTCATTATATATTCGTTTCAAATCGCGTGCTTCAGGTCCCCTACAACAGATCATAGATTTATTTCCCCGCTCGCTTGGAGTCATGTCTTGCCATTCGCCGGTGGGTATTCCTGAAAATCTCCTGCTAGTGTGTACTCTTCTGTTAATGCTACGTCTGAAATCCATTTAATTCTTGTTCTGTTATTTTCTGGTAGTATATATAATAATTCTGTATTAGGTTTTCAACCTTTTCTTCTTTTTTCGTATTCTGTAAGATCTGTACTTCGGCCGTTAAATATGGTTTTGTTCTTAATATGCTGTCAAAGACTATTCTCTGTCCTTGTCCTTCTTTTAATATTGAAGGTGCAAATTTTATACTTTGTATATTTTCGGTTGGTATTAATTCTTCTTTTTCTGTTTTCTTTACTTCCCAGTTTCGTTCTGGAGAATATGGTCGATGTCTTTTTCTTTCTCTTGATCCCTCTCTGGATGGAGTTCTTCTTCGGCTACTTTTATTACAAATTCTAGAGTTATGGTTACTTCCTCCACAATTTTTGCAGTTTAGTTCGTAGCTGCTTTTTCTTTTTTCCATTCACCAGTTCTTCTTTTTCAGTTGGTATTTCTATCGTTCTTTTTATACTTTTTTACCGTTAATTTTTCAGATTCTCTTCGGTTTTCCTATTGGTTTCAGATTTTCTGTGTTCCTTTTCAGATCCCACAGGAATCCTATCTTGATTTCACAAGATTCTAGTCGGTTTATTAGCATTTACGCTAAACTCTTGTAGTTCCATCTTGATTTCACAAGATTTTAGTCGGTTTATTAGCAAATATAAAATATTCCAGAGTGCAAATCTCTATGTATTATATTTTGCTGATGAATTTTATTTAAACTCATTGCAATATGCTCAATAATACAATATTTTTGTTATAATGTAAGTGATTGAAAATAATTTTTTAAAAAATCTTAAATCATTATCATGATGATTTAAACTAACATATAATCTTGATTGGTTGGACCTTTGGTTATTCCGTAACATGTAGCAAGAAATTGGAAAGTTTATCAAGTGTAAACTTAATTTCACCTATCAATTTTTTTGTAATTAAGTAATTAAGATTTCTGAAATGTTAAATGAATAGCTGATAATAAATGCAATAATAATCTAACTTATTTCTTGAAACCAATACACATTATTACTATTTGAATTATTCAATCTTTTAAAAACAATCTTTTGTCTTCCAAATCTTTCCAATATTTGTCTTTCATTAGTATATGTCCCCCATCTTTCTGAATTGCTGTATAGATAGTAACATATCCTCCTTCTGCCATATATTTGACATTTTCAAATTGATCATAATTAATCCACTCAATTACATTATCAGTTCTTACAGTTGTTTTCTGACATTCTTGAATTAATTTGTCAATTTCTTTATTTCCAGATGTCCAATTTCCAAAATTATTTTCTAAATATTTACGAATACAAAATTCACAATATTGGGTTGCCTGGTGCCATTTCTGACACTTATTGCATTGTTTTTTTTCTACTGAATTATTTTTAATTCTGTATGCATCATATGCTTTTTATATTTCATTAAGTAAAAAATTCATTTCATTTTCTGTGAGAGATGAATCATTTTCAATGATTTCTTTCGAAATCTTTCTTGCTCATTATGTGTTCTATGAATATTTATGTATAAAGAAAAATATCCCTTATCACAAACTCTTTTTAATTTAGCATTCCATTAAATGAATTAAGAAATGGATACTCGAGAAATTAAAAGTCAATAATTAATATATAATTTATTGTTTAATTTATTTACAAATGAGAAAATAAAAATTACCGTGGGTACGGTTTTAATATATCAATACAAGATTTAAATTGTCTTGAATTATTTATTAGTTATTGGAATATAATGTGCGCAGGAAATTATATACCAGGCAAATAATATTAAAATATTAATTAGCAAATAATTTTATTCGAGAAACAGGTTGATATTAAAATATTCATTTTGTTTATCTAGGATGAAATTTCCAGATTTATTATACCTTTTATGTATGCATCGTGTAAAGCAATTTGCTGCATAATGATTAAATTAGAACATTTTTTGGAGGCGAAATTGTAATACCAAATTCCGTATTTTCCAATCGTGTTAGTTCCTTAACACCTCAATCTATTGAATTCTTTAAAGGTATATCATTAGGTTAATTATATCTGATATAATTTTTACGGAAGGGACCGCATTTCGACTTATTGCGGCTTCGTGTAGCCGATCAAGAATGTCAATTTCGAATTTAATTGAAAAATAATGTAGAAACCAAAAAATTTTTTAAATTTAGTCCTCTCCACTTGTTTGTATGTTCAAGAAAAAAAGGCGTGCTTGATTTCCTTGAAGAATGAGGAATGATGAAAGGTTGTATTAATGAGTTATACTCGTTGAATAAGAACGAATTCACTTTTATAATTTTTATTTTATTATTAATATATTAATATTATTAGATGCAGCACATACAATTCATTGCTATTATTGACTACTGGTCAAGATTTTGGTAATTTATTATTATTTTTTTAATGATTTTTATTTATTTATTATTTATTATATTGAAATTAAAAATTACTCTTCTGATAAATATTTATCTTATATCTTAATGCTTGGTGTTGTTTACAAATTACATAAATTATTTGGGAACAAAAGGTATTGCCTGTATTTTATTCTAAAAATGGTCAATAGAATTGTCCCTTTGATCGAAAAATTCTATTTATTTATATTTATTGAAAACGTACATTCGTCATTAGTTGGGAAAGTTTTATGTTCTAGAATGTGTCGCCATACATTGCATACTTTTCTATAATTTCCTACTTCACCTTTTATTTAAATAATAAATTTTAATTAAACATTCGAGAATACACTATAATTTCAATAATATACCGCAGTATAATGATTTATCATTGGAATTTAACATTCTTCTCATTTACATAAATTTTTTACAATTTTCGAATAAAGAAAAAAAAAATACTTATGCAAAACATTAATTGAAATTAGAAAAAATTATTTTGCGCATTCAAACCTTTTTATTTGCTTTCATATAAAAGAATCACTTACCGAACAAAATAAAAACCTTGAATCAAAATTTGAATTTTCTGATTTTTTTTTTCGATTAGAACTATTTAAATTAAGCATAGACAATTAATTCATATCAAAGCGATAATAAATTATCATATCTATAGAGACTATATATAAAAAATGATTAATATAATAAATTAAAATCATTTAAACCAATAAATAATATACTGTATTCTAACACGGAATTCAATGTTGCAATATAATATCTAGAATTAGGATGCGCATATTCCGGATTTTTTGCTAATGGTTTTTTGGATTCAATCTGTGGCCAGAAACCATTATTAATGTAGAAATTTTTAGCATTGTTAGTCGTTGAAAAGGAACAGGATACAAATATGTTTTCATCAAATTTGTCCAACAGTCTGATGTATCTTCTGTAATTTCTGGTCTTTTTCTATCTAAAATATCTAATATAAGTTCTGGGCCATATTCTTTTTCCTGTGTCATGTCAGTTTCCACATAATCATTTCTAAATTATAAATTTCTGATTCATATGAATATAGTTTATTTTTAAATAATTCTGGTGCCATATATGCTATGGAATTATTCCATACATTTGAGATTTTCTTGAAAGGTTTGGTTTTTTTTTTAAAGAATTGGTTTTCTTGAAAGATTTGAATCAATATAATCAATATTTTTTGACTGGTAAAATCCTAAATCAGAAATTTTTATTGAATCACCATTAATGAGAAGGTTAACCTCGATGCATAATTTCATTATAATGAATTTCTAGGAAAAGTAAATTTTTCTTATTTTGCAAAGTTTTTATTTGAAAATGATTCAAGTCTTCACCTTTTGCATAATCTAAAATAAATATATAATTTTTATTCTTTGGATTCTGGGTTACTCCATAACATTGGATTAACTATATTATAAAATAATTATGGTGCTGGAAATCTATACTCAACAATAAAATTGGTAAAACTTAAAAACCTATTAACTCCTTAAAAAAACATATTTCAAGAAAGCAACTGGTAACTTTGTTCTTCAAATATATTCCATCAAACTATTGGTCAGATTTTTAATTAAAGTCTATACCAAAAGTTATAATATATTATGTCTTGTGGAAGTTTTATTGGTAAAATTTATAAAATTTTTGAAAGTCTATAAATTTTTTAAAATCTTAAAATTTCAAAATTTTACTAAATTTCTGTATCTAGAACAAAAAAATTGTAATAAATTATTGAGTATAGACTTCCGACACCATAGAATAAAAAATAAAGTAAATAAAAATTTCAATAAATTTAATAAAACTCTTTAAAATATTAGTAACCAAAATTATCATCATGAGCGCCAATTAGACAATTAGTAGTCGTGGGATAAATTAAAATTATAAATGATAGAATCATGCAACTTAGAATACTTATTTAAATCTTATTTAATAAATAAGATTGGTAAAAATAATCCAAATTTTTTTAAATCCATTCTCGGATGGCATTTTCAATAAACTCAGTCTCTTAATTCTTTTATTTTATTATCTGAATTATCTAATCTGTTAATTTTTTCAGTTATATCACCTTTATTAAACTTTTCTTCATTATACTTACATTCCTTCTGACTTTTCTTCCTTCTTCTTCTGATTCTTCTTGTGCTTCTTGTGCTTGTTTTTCTGATTCTTCTGGTTCTTGCTCTCACGTCTTTGTTCTTTAGTAATTTTCAATTTCTCACCTGATTGATAAACATTATGACAATGAGAAGATTTATTGACATGAAAAATATAATCTAATGCCTCACTGAAAAATTTTCCATAATTTGTGAATTTAGGTTCATTGTGCTTCATATTCTCGAGATCTATAAAAAAATATATTTTGAGTACATTGAGGAAATTCAGAGAATTTTAAAAGCAAATCAAGAAGTGTAGATGATGGTGAGGATATTAAAATCTGATGATTCGATTTGAAGATGTTGTTAAAGATGGCTTCATCGACGGTGATATCCAACAATTCTCGATCACTTTTCTGATCAATCATTATTGATTTGTTAATGACGTTGATGATGATGACTCGTCTTTAGATTAAGATTCTTCATTTTCATTGACAAAATGTTTCATTGAGTCCTTTAAAATATTAATTTCTTCTTTAGTCAGTGCTCTTTACTATCACTAATTTCTGTGCTGGATCCAGAGATGGGCGAATTGAAATCTAAAAAATAAAAACATGAAAATCGTTAAATTTTAAATAATATTCTATTTAAGAATGATTCACGTTAGATGGAAGGAAAAAAAAAAGGAAAATTATTCAACCTCCAACAAAAATGAAGCAAATCCAAATTCTGCTTTATTATTTTTTTTTATTTATTTTATTATTTATTATTTTTTATTTAGAGTGATGCTAATTTTCACCGGGGGGAAATTTCACCGTAGGCAGAATTACATAATTCCTGGTCAATCCCCTAACCCTAACCCTAACCCTACCAACATTAACTTAATTCTGCCCACCGGTTAATTTTCCCTCCGGTTAAATGTAGTTTTTTTCTTTTATTTATTTTATTATTTATTTAATTATTTTTATTTATTTTATTATTTCATTATTTTTTATTTATTTTATTTTTTATATTATTATTATTTTTTTTTTTTATTATACAAATTAAGTTCTCATAAATTTAATATTATCAAATTTTCAAAAAAAAAAAACCAATTATGATTGAACCAATTTCTCATCCTTGCTAATATTATAAATATACTAAAGTAAAAATTTTGATAAAATGTTTAAAGATATAAAATAACTTTAACTTTATTTAAATACTATGATTAAAAAATAAAACCTATTGTTTAAATAATAATAAATATTAAAATAAATAGTACATAAAAATAAAAAATATAAAATAATTCAATAATAAAAAAAGAACCAAATTTAGTCACGAGACTGCACTAAAGATAAAATAAATAAATAAAAGAAAAATTAAATTTATGAAATATATAAAATGGTATAAAATAAAATCATATTAATTACCTTGAACTATCAACAACAATATTATTAAGCGATAGTTTCTCAAATTCTAGAATTACAAAATGCATCAAATTAAATTAAATAAATTATTCTTTTAAACAAATATTTTAATCGTTATTAAAAAATCAATAAAATATTACCTTCAGGAATTTCAAGATCAAATTGTGTAGTTTCATATGCTAAATATAAAATATACAAGACTGCATTAATATAGATCGGATTAAACTAGAGTTTTTTTTTATATGAATTAATAATTTAGTTATTTTACCAAGTTGTTCTTCTATAAAATGAAAAACCAATAAATTAATTAATAAATATAAAAATAAAATAAATAAATAAAAAAAAAAATGAAATTTAAAATTATATTACCTTCCGTGGCATTTCTAGGTTGAGTTGAAATCTTAAATGTATATACTTTACTAGTTTGGATTTTTTGACTACCCATATCTTTTGTTAAACATGATTGGGAAAAATTTGATTTTAAATTATTAAATTGAATAGTTGGTTCTTGTTGCCGCTTATCCATTTCATTATATAATCGTTGAATTAATGTTTTCATTCTATCACGAATATTATATGCATTAGGTCTATTGTCGGGATTAGCATCCCAACATTGTTTCATTAAAGTTGCATACTCAGATGGAATAAAATTGTAAATTTTAGGTCTATATCCATTAATTATTGAAAGAGCAAAATCAGAATTAGAATTAAACGTATAACTGCTAAAGGGAGGTTTACCAGTAATCACTTCCCACATTATAATACCTAAACTATATACATCTGATTTTGTTGTATAATCTTTTTGACATAAAAGTTCAGGTGCAATGTATGGGAGATTCCCATAAAGACTATCTAATTGTTTGTCAACTGGCCCACTCAATCCTAAATCACTAATATACCAGTCTTCACTTATATGTAAAATATTACCCGGGTGCAGATCTCTATGCATAATATTTCGTTTATGAATTGCATTTAAACCCATTGCTATACGACGAATAATATTATATTTTTCTAATAATGTAGATGATTGATAATTATCATTTAAAAAATTTCTTAAATCATTATTGTATTGATGTAAAACTAACATATAATCTTGGGTGGTTGGATCTTTAGTTAATCCATAACATTTAGCAAGATATTGGGAAGTATTGTCAAGTGTGAAACTTAATGTCACCTATCAATTTTTTGTAATAATGTAATTAATATTTATGAAGCATTAAATAGAATATAATAAATGCAATAATAATTTAACTTACTTCTTGAAACCAGTGCACATCATTATTATTTGAATTATTCAATCTTTTAAAAACAATCTTTTGTCTTCCAAATCTTTCCAATATTTGTCTTTCAGAATTCCATTTATAATAGGGCCCATCTTTCCAAATTGCTGTATAGATAGTAGCACATCCTCCTTCTACCAGATATTTGGTATTTTCAAATTGATCATAATTAATCCACTCAATTACCTTATCAGTTCTTACAGTTGTTTTCTGACATTCTTGAATTAATTTGTCAATTTCTTTATTTCCGGATGTCCAATTTCCAAAATTATTTTCTAAATATTTACGAATACAAAATTCACAATATTGGGTTGCCTGATGCCATTTCTGACACTTATTGCATTGTTTTTTTTCTCCTGAATTATTTTTAATTCTGTATGCATCATATGCTTTTTGTATTTCATTAAGTAAAAAATTCTTTTCATTTTCTGTGAGAGATGAATCATTTTCAACGATTTCTTTTCGATATTTTTCTTGCTCTGTAATTGTTTTATGTATTCTGGTGTTTAGAGAATAATATCCTTTATCCAAAATTCCTTTTAATTTAGAATTCAATTTAATTTCTTGAGTAGCCATTTCTTATTTCATTTAAAGTTAAGATAATTTAATTAATTAATATATAATTTATTGTTTTAATTTATTTATTTACAAATAAGAAAATAAAAATTGCCGTGGGTACGGTTTTAATATATCTATATAAGATAAGATTTATTATTTAGATTGACTTGAATTATTATTAATTATTGGAACATTATGTGCGCAGGAAATTATATACCGGGAAAATGATATTAAAATATTAATTAGCAAATAATAATTTTATTCAAGACGCAATTATAATCGCACGTTGATAGTAAAATATTTTGATTTTTCTTATCTAGGAGATGTAAATCCGGACATCAATGAAATCTCCAGATTTAGTATATCTTCTATGTATGCATCGTTACTGTGTAAAGCAAAATTTTATTACTTTTGTTTAACCAATCAGAAATTTGCTGCTTAATGATGAAATTAGAACATTTTTGGAGGCGAAATTGCTGAAAGTAATGTTTATATATTATTATATTATTCTTATAGTAAATTCCGAATTTTCCAATCGTGTTAGTTCATTAACACCTCAATCTATTGAATTTTTTAAAGGTATATCATTAGGTTAATTATATCTGAAATAATTTTTACGGATGGGACCGGAACGCGTTAAATCTTTCAGCATGAAATGGCGTTACAGAGAGGATAAATTATGCGGCATTTCGACTTATTTCGGCTTCGTGTAGCCGATCTAGAATACCAATTTCGAATTTAATCGCCAAATAATGTAGAAACCAAACAAAAAAATTTTTTTTAATTTAAATGTTCAAGAAAAAAAGTCGTGATGGATTTCCTTTGAGAATGAGGAATGTTGAAAGTTGTATTGATGAACGAGTTGTCGAATAAGAACGAATTCATTTTTATAATTTTTTTATTTATTATCAATATATTAATATTATTAGATGCAGCAGCACATAGAATTCATTGCTGTTATTGACTACTGGTCAAGATTTCGGTAATTTATTATTATTTTTTAATAATTATTATTTATTTATTATATTGAAATTAAAAATTACTATTCTGATAAATTTATCTTATATTTACAAATTACATAAATTATTTGGAACAAAGATAATACCTGTAGTTTAATAAATAGAATTGGCCCTTATTCTATTATATATATTTATTTATTGAAAACGTACATTCATCATAAGTTGAGAAAGTTATATGTTCGAGAATATGTCGTCATACATTACATATTTTCTTTAATTTTCTACTTTCATTTTATTTAAATAATATGTCGTCATTTCAATAATATACCTCAGTATAATGATTTATTTATCATTGGAATTAAACATTCGATAACGAAATTCTCTATTTACATAAATTTTTTCCAATTTTTCGAATAAAAAAAAAATTTATGCAACATATTAAACTTTTTTATTTTCTTTTTAAATATATATAATAAAAGAATCACTTAACAATAACAAAATAAATAATAAATAAAAATATAATAATCGAATAAAATAATAAAAATATAATAAGAAAAATAATAATAATAATGTAAGAAAAAAAAAAATAAATTAATCTAAAAAAACTTGTCTTCTTTTAAAATCATCTACAATTAATCTTAAAACTTGTTTAAAAAATGGAACGTAATATGGAATTTCACTATATGAAATATAAAAATCAAGTTTTTCAGGAGGAACCAATTCCAATGTGTCAAAATTCTTGCTTATAATTTCTAGAAAATATGAAAATGGGTAAAATGGATATTATTTAATGTGATACATAGATGTTTATGGATGAAATGAATGAAATTATAAATGTTATAAATGAAATTTGAATGAAAAATGTAATGATAATACATACCAAAAACCTTAAAGTATTAAAAATAATTTAAAATGAATTAATAATAATATTAATAATATTCAAATCAATAATAATTAATCATAATAATAAATTTAGTTATTACCTGTTCAGGAAGTAATGATTTAACGTGATTCTTTAATTTCCATGCTTCAATTTTCAAATGAAAATGTTGACAAATTGTCATAATATTAGCAAGAATATCAGGTTGTGATGAATTAGATTTCTTTGGACTTTGTTGATTAGTATTATCCTTGCTGGAACTTTGTTTATGAACTTTAAATCGTAATAATAAATATATTAATAAACATAATAATCGACAACATATATATAAATATAATAAATATTATAAATAAATATAAAATTATTTACTTATTTCATGAAGACCATCAAAAACTTCATTAGATCTTACAAGTTCATAAAATAAATTATCATAAGCCAAGGTATCAGGTAAGAATGAATCACCAAATGCAATACATAAATTAATTATATTTATTGTAAAGATTAATATTTCAATAATAGAAGATGATGATGATGACGATGATGATTGCTGAATATCATGATTCATTTCATCATAATTAGATAAAATGAATTTTAATAATCCGATTAAAGAATGCCATAATTCTGTCCAATGATATGTTAATCTAATATTCATTCTTTTTAAATGACAAATTAATTTATGAATAATTCCTAATGTCAAACTATAAAAATCATAAAAATTTAAATATTTGAATTAATTAATTATTTATATATGTATACAATAAATGTGAGTATGTTCGTATGAATTAAATACATAAAAAACATAAAATACATAAAATACTCGCCTGTGCAAATCAATTGATAATTTTTTCTTCATATTATGATTTATAAATCCTATACAAATATCTAAGATTGTACAAACTAATGGATGACATGATTTACTATACGGAAGTATTGGAAGACGCTATTCAAAGAAATTAATTATAATCAAATCACAAATCAGATAATTGCATATATATCACAAAAATGAGATAATGAGATATTTACCTGTCTGCAAAGTCTAATATTATATTTTCTTCGTTCATCACATATATATTCAATAAATGTTGAATCTTCTGATAATATTGTTATTATTAATAAGGTCATTTTTGAATAACTTGCTGCTCGGGAAGAACGATTATGTTGTAAAAGGTAAGATGAAAATGAAAGAAAATCTGTAATAGGTGGAAACTTATCTAATAATAACATTAATAAAATCAATAATAACATCAATAAAATCAATAATACAGACAAAAAATTAATAAAAAATAAATGAATTTGGATAAATAAAATTTACCATCAGCATCAGGAATAGAAGTTCTACTTTTATAATCCAAATCTGTATCGGATACATTACATTCTATTATTGTTTTAGAAATATATGCGATAAACTTTTTATTATTATTTGAAATGTCATACAATGCCAAAAGTATTGCTATATTCGCTGATGGTCTATTATAATAATAGTTTATAAATTATTATTATTATTATTATTATTATTATTATTAAAAATTATTCCTCTCCACAAAAAAAAAAAAATGCAAAATAATTTAAAAAGACTAAAATGATGGTACTCACAATCGATCAAACGATAATTCTGAATCAGAATCAGTTGTTGGTTTATTGCTGTGCCAAGTTAAAAATGTTCCAACATATGATAAAGCTGAATGAATTGAATTTTTATATGTATCATAATCATCTTGAATATCTGTATATTGTCTATAAAAATATTAGTCAGTTTAATTTAATTTATTTATTTATCTTCATAACTAAAACAGCAATATAATTAATAACCCAAAATAACTCACTTTCTACATTTCAAACATGCAGTTCCAATTGTTTCCATAATTTTCTAAATAATTAAGCAAATTAATAACAATTAATAAAAATTAATAAATAATTAAATATAAATATTTCTTTAAATAAATCATTACCTTAAAAATAATTTCATCTTTAATTTCTGATATCTTCAACAAATAAGGATTCTTACTTTCATGTTTATTATAATTCGCCAAAATAGCCAATAACACTATAGCTTCATATGCAATATGTGTCGTTTCAGGTGAAACTATTATCTTTATAAACATAATATATTTTATTTAAATTTAATTTATTTATTTAATTTAATTTTTTTTTTTTTGATTTAAAATTAAATTAATAAAAATTCGAAAATTCGAAAATTACTAAAATTATTAAAAATTCAAAAATCAAAAATTAAATCAATTAATATAATAAAATTAAAGAGAATAAAATAAAACTTACCCCCATTAATGGATCAAAAATATCTTTTTTCATAAAATATACATTTATACTATTTTGATTAATATTATTATTTCCGGTTATTATTACGATTGTTAGGTGTAATGCTAAAACTTTGATCTCTACTATTACATAAATTAGTAAATAGTAAAATTAATTAATAAATTAATTAATAAAATATATTTAAGTATATTTATTATGTTCGTTATTTTTTACGCACCTGGTTCCTCATCTTTAAGAAGAGAACAAATTCCATCAACTAATTGCTAAAATAATTATTAAAAAAAAATAAACAATTAATAAAATATTATTCTTATTAATAATAAAAATTAATTAAACAAAAATGAAATTACCGGAAAAATAACATCTGCATTATCTAATCCAGTTAACAAATTTATAACTTCAAAATTAAAATTATTAAATTTCTTGGTAAAAATTCCTTGAAGGAGAACATATAATGTCTAAAAAACATGTATGTAAATTAATATTAATGTAATTCATTATTATTAATTATTATTTTTTATTAACATTTACCTCAATGGCATTAATTTTTCGTTGAGTATTTTCTTCTTTCAAAGTTTCAACGGCTTTCAAAAATATTTTTCTAATATTATTCTAAATATTTTTAAAAAAACAAAATAAATATTATTATTTAAACGATATAACAATATATATAATAAATAATAATAATTAATAAAATTATTAATTAATAATAAAATAAAAAATAATAATAAACAATGATTAATAATGCATTCCTTAATATATAATAATTTTTCTTGTGAAATTTCCACTAAAATTTTTGTTAAATAAGTGGAATTAACTTTGAGTAAGAATAATTCACTCCAGAAATTGGGATTTCCTTCTGATGGATCATTTCCCTTAAAGAAATTTTCATATATTTCTACAAATTTTTCTTTTAATATTGTTTTTATTCTGTGGGTAGGTCTGATATTTTTTTTTCGATCATTATAAAAATCCATTTTTTTTTACCCCCAAAAAAAAATTTATCAGAAAAATTATATGAAAAATTATAATTTCACGTGTCTATAAAAATTATTTTACCTAAACAGGGATAATGTCAAAAGGAGTCATATTATTTGTATTTTGTTGGTCATTCAATTTCCAGATATGGAAAATATTTAATAAATGGCAGTATTCTTATTATTAAAGAAATACTGTTGTTATTTCAGATTTAGGATCTAGTAGCCAGCAACTATTAAACAAAACATTTCAAGAAAATCTCAAATATATGGAATAATTCCATATATGACACCAGAATTTTTTAAAGGTCAATCATATTCATATGCATCAAGAACACGAAATATTTAGATGGAAAAGACTAAAAATTAGGTAAATTCAATGTTGGCATTCTAACGACCAAAAATAAAAGTAAATTTAAATTATCATTAAAATTTAATTATATTCATTATTCTGAAGATAAAATCAAAAAAAAGAATATCTAGATAAATATAATTGTATTTAGTTAGTTAGAATTTAATGAAGTCAAAAGAAACTGACTTGAAATGGTCGAATCCAAAAAAATCCAAGATATGTATGAGCATTTCAATTCTAAATATTGTAGTGCATTATTAAATCTATGTTAGAATCTATTAATTCGACAATATCAATTTTAATAATTTTAATGATTTTTAAGATGATATATCAACACTTTCTTATATATAATTTCCATAGATATATTCTCTAACGATAATTTGTTCGTTTCGATATAAACTTTATAATGTTTTACATGCTTTATTTAATTTAAATTAATTTTACTAATTATCTTCATTTAATTATTTTTAAATAATTCTAATTAAATAAATTATTTAGAAGATTCAGAAGGTAATTCAAGTGCAAAAAAAATCTAAAAAACATTTTTAGATGAATTACTGTAAGAGTAATGCTTTAATTTAGTCTATAACTAATAATAAACTTTTTTGTCATTTTTTTTTGTTAATTTGCATTTTTATAAAATAGATGATCTTAAACGAAGAATATTTGGCAGATAATGTTATGGAATAATTATGACTTTTTTTTTTATTTTTTTTTACAAATTATTTAATTATTATTTTTCTTTATTACTTTCATTTACGTATCGTTGGGATTTTAAATAAGAAAAATTGGTGTTTAATATATCAGCGAAAGATTCATGGTTTATATTTTATTTTATAGGCTAACAATTCAATTATTTTTTTTTACTTGTTATTTTTTCATTATTAAATGATTGGGTAATAAATAATATAAAAATAATAAATTTTTTAGGAATCAGTTAAACCTCAAATAAAACAATCATTCATTTAGTATAGTAAGTCATTTTTTTTGGTCGTATTAATAATTTATATAGAATAAACATACTGAAGATTAAATTTTCATCAAAGAATCGCGCTTTTCAATGATGTCTATATTTAGAATGGGTTCCTTGTAAAGAAAATTGAGAAAGTCATATCATTAAAGCAACTTGGAAAATTAACAGAAGTATATTTCACAAGGCATTGCATTAAAGAGAAATTGTTTTGAGGCAATAATTAGGGTATCACTCGAGATTTTTGATTGGCTTTCAGCCACAAAACCACACGATCAATAACCTTATAAATAAATAGAAACTATTAATATCTTTTGTTACGATTCGTATTTAATTAGATATACATATATGTATTATGTATTTAAATATGTAAATAGAGAAATTCGTTTCGAATATTTAGGATTAAGGAAAATTCCAAAGTTATCGCCAGATAAAGAAAATTTTCTCAACGTTCTATTAATGTATGTTTTCGAAAATCAATGCTTGGTCAATTATATAAATAACAAATTTAATTTATAAAGCAACTTGGGATGAGAAAAAAAGTTGTAATATAAGTTATAAAGGAATTATTGAAAGGAAAAAAACTGAAAATTTCGAATGACTCACATTATCTGGATGAAGAGTTTTTGAAAATTTTTTTTATTAAATCATTATATTTAGTTTAAAATATAGTTAGATATATTAACAAAGTCAAAGTTCAGTAAGCAAGAATAACACAAGATCCAATGATCAAGAATATGTTCAAGATGGAGAAATAAATTATTTTATACACGGAGTAAAATTACGTATTTAACTTACATTTTACGGGAAATTACAGAAACTCAATAAGAAAATTACGTATCGAGATTTACGTATCAGATTTAGTTTAGCCATCCAGCAAATATTGTTTCAAATTTTTCAAGAAAATCTCAAATAAATGGACGAACTATTTAATACTAGGAATTGACATCAGGACAGAGACCATTTCACGGTCCAAAACTTACATTAGATACTTTATATGGAAAAAGATTAGAAATTACACCAAATTTTAGGCTAATTCAATGAAAAGAAATTCCTTCCCAACGACCAACGATACAAGAAATTTATATATCAATAATTGATTTCTGCACGCCTTGAAATGGTTGAATCTAAAAAACCATTTGTGAAAAATCCAAGTAGATATTATCATTGAATTCCATGTTAGAATCTATTAGTCCAACATTGTCAGTATTTAATTTTCAAGATGGAATTCTTCATTGTATTAATAGTTTCTTATATATGATTTCCATAGATTCATTCTCTAATAATTTGTTATTTAAAAAAAAAAAAAGATACTTGAGTTTTTAATTTTTTTTTTTTTTTATCTATGTTAATAATTATTTTTTTAAATAGTTTTAATCAAAAAAAGATTGGAAAATTCATAAAAATAAAATAAACTATAATAATTCTATTAATCAATTTTTATAATTTTTCTTTTATCTGCTCAATATAAAAAAATTTATTTACAGAATTAAATATATGTAAATAGAGAAATGTTTAGAATTTTCTAATAAAGAACATCCAATCAATATATTATTTTTAAAATAAAAGAAAAGTATGTATCGTGTGACGACACAATATAGAATAGAACTTTCTCAACGTTCGACGAAAGTATTCTTCAAAAAAAAAAAAAGTTTTCAATAAATATACATAGATAGAATTTTTCGATTGTCTCAATTAGTAGAATGATGGCAGAATATTTTATTACAAGAAACCTTAACAGATCTAATAAAATATTAAATGTATAAAATGCATTAGCAGAACACATATTAATAATTTGCATTTATGTCTACGATGTAATGCTATGAATTCACAAATTGTTAACAGTGGCAATAAAAACATTGACGATTTCATCAAAAGGAAGAGCGGAAAGTAATTTTCTAGCATGGGTTCCATATGAAAATTTAACAAATGTAGAATTTATTGGGAAGGGAGGTTTTAGCGAAATTTATAAAGCAACTTGGGAAAAACAAATTTACAAATGGGAAAAAGGAATCTTAGAAATGGTAAAAACTGAAGCTGTTTTGAAAGCCTTAAATAATTCAGAGAACGTGGATACTGAATTTTTTAAAGAGGTAATAACCATTTTTATAAAAGTTTTATTGGATTTTTTTTTTTTTTGTTTAATGTTTATTATATTTTATTCTATAATATAGTTAAAATATACATATCAGTTCAGGAGGGGATTTGATATTAATACTTTTACTACGATCCAATGTTATGGAGTAACTAAAAATCCAAAGACTAAAAATTACGCATTTATTCTAGAATATGCAACAAATGGAAATTTGCATTATTTTTTAAATAAAAACTTTGCAGAAATAACATGGGGAAGAAAAACTAACTTTCTATGGAACAAAGTTGAAGGACTTAAAGGAATTCATAATAAGAAAATTATACATCGAGATTTACATAGTGGCAATATTCTTATTAATGATATAGATGCTATTATTTCTGATTTAGGACTTTGCCAACCAGCAACTATTGATCCAAACCTTTCAAGAAAATCTCAGATCTGTGGAGTAATTTCATATATGGCTCCAGAACTTTTTAAAGGTCAGCCTTATTCATGTGCATCAGATATTTATAGTTTAGGAATGATTATGTGGCAATTGACATCTGGACATAGACCATTTCATGATCAAGAACATGGACCAAAACTTATATTAGATATTTTAGATGGAAAGAGACCAGAAATTACAGAAGATACACCAGAACGTTGGGCAAATTTAATGAAAAGATGTTGGTATTCTGATCCATCACAACGACCAACGAAGATGATATTTATTATTTATCAGAAGAATTTAAAAACTATTATTTTAGTTATAATTATTATTCTGGAAAAGAAATCAAAAAAGAATACCCATATAAATATGATATTTGGTTAAAATTTGATGAAGCTGAAAAAAAAACGACTTAAAATGATTGAATCCAAAAAACCATTTGTAAAAAATCCAGGATATGAGCATCCCGATTCTAGATATTATAGCACATTATTAAATCCTATGTTAGAATCTATTAGTTCGATAATATCAGGTATTTATTAATTTTTTTTAATTTATTCTCTAATGATCATTTCGACATCAAGTATGTCTTTAAAATACTTGAATAATTGAATTGATTTAATTTAATTTTGTTATTAATTATCTTAATACATTAATAATCAATTTTAAATAGTCCCGATTCTTTCAATTCAAACGTAGTAGAATATTCAGAAAACGCTTTTTAGATAAAGAAATCATTGAAGATCAAAGTAATATTTTTTTCTATAAATAAATCTATTGTTATTGTAATTTTATTAATTTAATATTGTATAGATAACTCTAAACGAAGAAAAGTTGTAGATTATGCTAAAAATTAACGATTATTATATTTTATTTTTATTTCTATTTCTATTTTTACTTTTACCATTTATATATTATTTTTTAATAACTCTGATGGTTCCCGAATTTTATCATTTTGTTCATTTCAGATTAGGTTTTGGTTGTTAAAAAATGTTTATCGTGGCTATTATTTTATTTCTTTTATTATTTCGTATTTATATTATGTATGTACATATATTTAAAAACAAATAAAAAAGTTGAATGCGCAAAGTGATTTTCTTCTAGTTTTAATTTGTGAATAAATAATTAGAAATATACAGTGTGTTACAAAAGTTTTTGGAAATTTTTATTAGGTTATTGCGCAACAACGGTTGATTTAAATTACGCGCAAATTAAGTATTTGAGACGTCAAAAGCAATAGATTTTATAATATGGAATACGTTCACCATTTTTTATTATTATAAGTTTACATTGTTCCTTCATAGAACCTACTAAATTAATAATACAGTATTAGAATTTGGAATTCTTCTACCATAAATCGCTCTAATTTTTTGGCTGCCGTTTCTTCACGTTCCCTTTAACAATATTCCACTGATTTTCAATAGGATTAAGGTCGGGACTATTGGATGACCAATCGATTACTTCAGTAAAGTTTTCTTTAAGAAATACACGACTTGTATGCTTGTCCTGTTGAAATCTCCAATCGTCATTCAGATCTCTGGTAAATGTTTTATTAAGATAATGTAAAATGGATCATCCATAATTCCTCTAAAACAAAAAAGGCTAGTTTTGCCTTTTTACCCCATGCGAAAATTTTTGATCCGTCTTTTGGCATGCAACGAACCCCTTGTACTAATTTTTTATTGTATTTCTAAACAGTTGAAAAGCTGTTTCATCTGAAAATAATGGTGTTTTCAGACGCTTTTTGTTTATGTGTTAGCATTGTAGCTGGTAATTTTTTTTTATTATACTCGAGTGTCTTCAAATGACTTAAATTGTTAAGTATGATACCTTTACGGCTTTTTTAAACAATTTATTTACTAAAGTTCGTTAATGCATTGAGCAATTGCCCTAGAACTTTCTGGAGTAATTTTTTGGGGCGATCTCGGCGTTTTTTATGAGTAATACCTTTTGTTTTTTTAAGTTTTACAATGCTATAATAAATTGTGGACGTCGGAATATTTGTTCTCTGTTTTATTTCACTTGCATTCTTTATACCAATGTCCCACAAATTTTTATTGTTTCGGCATGTGTATTTTTACTTGTAGGTGGCTCGGTCGTTGTTCGAAGGACGAACGATTTTCAAAGGCAAAAAGATTATCATGGTGACAGCATCGTCACTTATTACCACGTGCAATTTGCACTAATTTAATTCCTCCTATCAAATACTCTGTATATAGCAAATATGTAAATAGAGAAGTTCGTTTCGAATGTTTAGAAACATTCCAATTAAATATATAATTTAATTTCCAAATTTGGTCATTGCATGACAACTATTTAAAAAATGACTTTTATTATAATCTAACAAATTCATTAAATGTATAAAATGTAATGCAAGATTTTTAAAGGTCAACCTTATTCATATGCAACAGATATTTATAGTTTAGGAATGATTATCTGGCAATTAATATCAGGACGTAAACCATTTCATGATCAAGAACGTGGACCAAAACTTATATTAGATATTTTAGATGGAAAAAGAACAAAAATTACAGAAGATACACCAGAACGTTGGGCAAATTTAATGAAAAGATATTGGCATTCAGATCACAACGACCGAAGATAGATGAAATTTATTATTTATCAGAAGAATTTAATATTTATCATTAGATCTATTATATGTTATTACTAATTATATTTAATAAATTTTAATAGTTCTAATCAACAAATGATTTAGAAAATTCAGACGGTAATTCATGCGCAGAAAATTCTAGAAAACATTTTTTTGAAGAAATTATTTAAAAAAAATTACCAGGTCATGAGAGATTTTCGTTTTTTAGGTTGATTATTTGATATTATTTATTATTGTTTATAATTTATTGATAAATATTATGATCTCGGTTTTAGAAAATATTTAAAGAATTGCATCCACTTATTTTCTTCATTATATTGTTACTTTTTTTTTTGATATCGTTCTTTTTTATTTCTAAAAAAAAAGTCAGGATTCGGTATCACATATCTGATTTAAAATTTTACGCGACATTTTCCTCTCCCTTCTATTATTATTTACTATTACTATTTATTACTTTATTATTATTATTATGATTATTTATTATTTTCCCACTTATTATAACTCTTCCAAATGAATGAATCCGATTTGTCAATTCCTAAATAATTTTAAAAATAATAATTTGTTTCAAGAAATCAAATTAGGAAAACTAATAAAGAGAACTTTTTGGAGAATTCGGAATACGAATAAAATAATGGAATATAACAGTATATATATAAAGATCTCAATCAAAGAACACTTGTACTGAGTTGTACAGTGTACTCAAAGTACTTTTGGAAATGATGTACATGCCTTAAAAATAAAGTAATTGAAGCATAAAACAGCTATCTTTTGACCGAAAAAAAAAATAATTCATATGTAAAATAAATAAAATAATAAATTAAAATAATTCTTTGATTGATTGATTGATTGAGTCCATTATAAATATTATAAATGAAATCCAAAACAAGAAAGAATAAAAGATAATTTTTTTTTGAGAGATGAGAAATGATAAAAATAATCACGAGAGTTTCAGAGTTAGAGAATATATATGATGAAATTTAAAATCGATATCGACACCAATCAATTCTATGTAAATATTATTTTAGAACCAATTTTATAATTTTGAACTTTCTGATTTTTTTATTTAATTTAATTATATATAAAAAAAAAGAAGCTTTTTGTACTTCAAAATCATTAAATTAAATTACTTCTTAAAAATATATAAAAAAAGCAATTAATTATTAGAAAAGTAAAACAAAGAATAACATAAAAAAAAAACCAATAAGGAAAATTATTGATGAGACCTTTTCTTTAAAAAAAACCAATTAATTTATTCAGACCAAATAATTTTAATTAAATCAAAGGTGAGACAGCATTAATGTTGTGTTTGCTATTATAACGTCTTAAATAACGTTTTTTTTTTTTTTTTATATTTTAAATGAAAAAATTTAAACAATAATTATGCATGCAAGTTAATAAATATTGTTAAACGTGACGTGAATACAAACGTTGAACCAATTTACCAATTTTATACAAGTCCAACGTTAATTTTCATTTGATAAACAAAGAATTAACGTTCCAAATATAGTTTAAAAATTAAAATAAAAACGAAATATACCGTGAGAAGTATGCGTGGCGAAGTTATTGTAAAATCTTGCCACCCCCGATTGCAATTAAAAAAAAAAAAGAGAAAAGAAAAAAAATACAACCATTTGTTATTTTATGTGGTAATCTTTAATTAAAGAAAAAAATGATATTTTTTTTTTATTTCCAACGAAAAAAAAATTCTCAAGAATTCTCATCTTTGGAAAGTTAAATTATTATTACTATTATTATTAAAAAAATGAAATGATCAAAAATTTTTTTTACACAAAATTTTTGAATTATTCAGAAAAAAAAAAAAAAAAAACTGACAGATAACATAATGTATATATTATTTGTATTATATTTCCATATTTTATCATATTCTCAGTTATAATAAAATATCAAATACTGAAGAAAATGTATAATGTGTACAAAAAAAAAGATGAAAAATATATAAATATATATATATATATATTATTATTATTATGTATAGTAATACCCAAATACCCAACTCCATAATATACCCAAATTTCTAAAATAAAAATAAAAAAATTTAAAATTTTCAGAATTTTGAAAAAAAAAAATTTCTAACCCGAATTCAGAATTCTAAAAAAAAATTATATTTATATATATATAATAAATGTAAAACAATTGTTCTAGAAATGATTTCTCGTGAACTCAAAAAAAAAAGAATGGAATCGAAAAATGAATGAATAATGAGTGTATACGGTGAGAGATACCATTTTGTCTCTTTTTTTTTTAGAAAAAAAAACCACACAAGTGATGTCTATAAATAAGATAGAGATGGAAATAATAGAAATTGTATAAGTTGGAGAATTCATAAAATTTAAATAAATAAAGAAGAAGAAAAAAAGTTTCGAAAAAAATAGATCCCATTACCATATTGCTATATTAAATTTGAAAGACTTTTTCTACTCATGTTTCTTCCTTCTGTTGCCCAGAATGTTTGTAATGTTTTAATGTCTATTATTATTAAATTTATTAAGTGTAAAAAATGTAAATTTATTCGTAAGCGCAAATGTAAATAAAAAAAAAAATCGAATCAAATCGAACATATATCATAAATTAATTATATTAGTTTTCTTACCATCATCAGGTATGAATATACTGATAACATTTTGAATTCCTATAAAAAAAAAATAAAATAAGCAAAAAATAAAGAAACGATAAAAAAAATTGTAAGTATAAGATAAAAATAAAAAACATCTCTCGATAATAACTCAAAAATAATAAATATACCTCGAGGGTTATTTAAAGATCTTTCGCTTTGAATTCCTGGTGCTAATTAATTAATTACAAAAAAAAATACATATATATGTATATTATTTTTTCGATTTCATAACGTAAAAATAATTTATAAAAAATTAAGTTTTTTTAAAAAAAAAAAAACTTACGTGGTGGAGGTGGCTGTGATAAGAAGCTATACGTATCTTTAGGTGGTGAAAATTTGGTATTTGTTGAAAAGGTGTTAGCATCACGGAATGTTGGAGGATTATTATATGAATTTCGTAAGGTGTGAGAGTTTTGTAAAGGAGCGAATAATAATTGATTTGATGTGGATGTTTCCTTGGATATTTCCTTAGAAGTCTGTTGTGTTGTCGTTGTTGTTGTTGATATTTGTTCGGATGTTGGTGTGGAAGTTTGTGGGGATGTTGGTGCGGAAGTTTGTGGGGATGTTGGCGCGGATGTTTGTGTTTGGTTATTTGATGTCTGATATTCGTTTATTAAAGTTTCTGTACCTTGATCAGAAACACTACGTGGAATATTTAGTGAGTGATATTGACGTCTACGAGATTCTTTAATCTCGGGGAAATCCAATATTCTACTAAAATATACAGCATCTGGATGTTGTTTCTTGGAACTACTCTTTAATGCTGATTTTGAACTACCTTTCCGAAGTGACGCTTCTAGTGAATCATCTACCAACCAGTGGTAAATTATCTTTGAAATATTTTCGAAGTCGGGACGTTTTGAAGGATTTGGGTCCCAACAACTGATCATCAAATTAGAATAAAATGATGGGGTATTAATAGGGATCGGAGGTCTCTTTCCTTTTATAATTTCGTTGACGAGATCTGAATCGTGGGCAATGTTTAAGAATGGTTTACAACCTGAACACATTTCCCACATTATAATTGCGAAACTATAAATATCCGATTTTTTCGTAGGTTCATGACCTTTGAGAACTTCAGGAGCAAGATATGGAACAACTCCATGAATTTCTTTTTTTTGTGGAGATTTATTAGCGGGTCCACATAATCCAACATCAGCAATAACAAATTGAGTTTCTTCCAAACCCAATATGTTACCACTATGTAAATCACCATGAATTAAATCTCTCTTATGCATTTCGCAAATTCCGGAAGTAATTTGTTGTAAGATTTGAACTTTATCTTTCCAACTTAATGTGTTATTATTACGAAGAGATCTTAGATCTCCACATGGTGCATATTGCATGACCATCATGAATTCTCCTGTTGTAGGTTGTTGTGTAATACCGTAACATCGTAAAAATTGGGGTTGTAAAAATAGAATCCAATTTTTCTTGAGCTAAATCAAAAAAAAAAAATAGTAATAATAATAAAAATACAAAAGAATAAAAAAATAATTAAATATAATATAATATAATATATAAATACATATATAAAAAGGATCGATAATAAAAAAAGACAAAAGAAAAAAAAATACTAACCTCATTCAAATATTCAATACTTAAGTTTTGGGAATTATTTAACGATTTTAAAGACACGGTTTTTCCGGATGTACTCCATGTGGCTTCATAAATCGTCGAAAATCCACCTTTAGCTGTAAATATACAATTAACGAATTCTTCAAATGGTATCCAATTTAAATGTTGTGCGGGATTAGGAAATTCTAGTCTCATTTCTTGTAAAAGTTCATCAATAGGTGTATAACCACTTCTCCAATCCCTACGCATACCCGTACTTAATCGGTCAGCAGGATTATTATTATTAACGGACATTGGTCTTAACGTCGAAGATATATTATTATTATTGTTGTTGTTATTGTTATTGTTACTACCGTTATTACTACCTAGTTGACCACCAAGTTGTCCAAGTTGTTGATTAATGTTATTTTGACAACTTTGTAAATTCTTCAAAGTGATATCCTCATTAGACTTGATCGTTGATCTTTCAGTAGTTCGAACATTTTTTCGTGTGCGTCTTCTGTAAAAGACTCTGAATAATCTTCTAAAAAGTTTCATAATTAATTATATATATATATATATATATTAAAAAAAAACGATAAATGGCCAATAATGGTAAATAATGGTAAATAATGGTCAATAATGGTCAAATAAATGGTCGATAATAATAATCAATAAAAAATAATCGATATTAAAATATTGAAAATTTTTTCAAAATAAAGTATATATATATATATATATATAATTTTTTTTTTTGTACAAGGGAGATATTTTTAAATTTTAGAAGAAAAAAAAAAACAACAGCAAAGGTTCTTTTGAGATTTCCGGTGCATAGAAAAAAAAAAAGGCTAATAAATAATCAGGGTTCAATTTTTTTTTAAAAATTTTTCGAGTACTTACGCTATTATTGAATTTCTATTTGTCATTTCAAATAACCGAAAAAATAATATAAAGAAAAAATGAAAGGTAATAAAAAAAAGAAATGATAAAGGCAAGAAACAGACAGCTAGAAGGGATTCAGACAGGTTGGTGACCAAAAATATTCCAAACACAAACAACAAATCTGGCTCAACTCACTCCGATCTTGGATTTTTATATCAGCTTGCGTTGAACAAGAATTGTACAAATGCACTTGACCAACACAATAACAACAAGTAGTATAAAATAATTTATTATTATTATTATTATTTTCTTTCTCTAATTAAATATTTAATATTATTAATATAATTAAAAAAAAAAAAGAAAGAGAATTACAACGCAATGAAATTATTGAGAATAAATTAAATAAGCAATAAAAATCATGCCGCCAATAAATTTATGATAGACACAAAAACGTTTATCCCACTCGAAAATTACTTATTTGGTCTTTCTCGTGTGTATGGCTTATAAGAAAATGAATATTAAATTTGGTTATAAATTAATTAATTTATATATATAAAAAGATGAAATTTTTTTTTTTCACCTTTAAAAACGAAGATAGGTTGGGTAATGAATAATGCATAAATGTTATGAGTTCATTTCAAGACCTGCATAACAAACGATATAAATTGAATAAATTGAATAAATTGCATGGAAAAGAAACAAGTCAGCATTTCTCGATTTATATTTTCCTGCACAAATAGAAAGGTTATTTATCTGTACGAATTTTAATTGGTTGCTTAGAGTTAGGAAAAGAATAAGAAATACTTTAAGTTGTGAAACCTTTTGTTAAAAAAATCAATATAAATATTTTAACTACACATATAATTAATTAGATATATGCATAATTCGCGTAGTGTGCCATTTAAATGTCTATAAGCAATCGTTTTTAACGTCCAAACGTGTACGAAATAAATTTTATTAATCCTATTATAGATTTATTTTTATAGTTATTTAAAAATAGTTTTTCGATGATCAACTTTAAATGGAATGATCAACCTTTAATTTCTTTTCTTCGATACATAGAAAAAAAAAATTAAAAACGAATAATATCTTATCCTTGATTATTAAATAAACAATAATTTTAACATTTATAATTAATTTTAATAGAACAGATTTCCAGTTCTTTTTATGGATGACAAAAACATCACTGAATTAGACTTTTCTCCGTTAAACTTTAAGTGACGTTTTTAATAATGAAGACCTCAATGAAATATAAAAACAATAACCCATTCAAAATAAACAGCACAGATCGAATCTATAAATTGACACAAATCATTTATTTAATAAAATAAACTTTTTTTTTTTTGGAGGGTTTATAAATTGCTTAAAATAAATTAAAAACAAACAATAAAAAAAAAGTCAGATATGCAATTTATTTTTTATCTATTTTTAATAAAAATCACTCATCAACAATAATAAATCATCCTTTTTAATTACCTATTTCATGATTTTATTTTTTGAATGAATTTTTTATTTTTTTTTAAAAAAAAAATATATTTACATAATGTAAACATAACATTAGTTATGGTGTTTCTATTTTGTTGCACATATTTTTGAATGAAAAAAAAATAAAAATAAAAATACATCACCGAGTGACATCTTACTATAGAGAAAATTAAGTGTCTTCTGCAAGTTATCGAGACTTGCTGCTGCAAAGGATATCAATAAAAAAAAATAAATAAGATGCATTTGCATCTTTGATTTCAATAAAAAAAATAATATTTTTTATTGGTTTTTTTTTTGGTAAACTACTGAGCACGGCGACAATTCGACAAATTTATGATGATGATAATAATAAATCGTGATTTCTTTAGAATTTATATTTGTTTTTTTTTTCTTTTTTACTTAAAAAAATTTGATGCTTGATTTACACGAATTACTAAACGACTTTATTAAATAAATATTTTCCCTTTTCATTTGACTTGTTCAACTCAACTTACTCACGCGTAAGTTCAAATCACCTGATTTTCTTAATGACGTCATTGTTTTGATTGTTTTGGATTATTTTTTGTTATGATGGTTGTTATGATGATGATGATGGGATTGTTAATAGATATAAATAAGATCTATATTCATAAAAAGTGTCAGTTTTCTTTTTTTCTACCTTCCAATTTTCATTTTTATTTACAATACTATCATTTCTATTCTTCTCTTTAAATCCTTTATATCAAAAATTTCATTATTACATGCTTGCTGCAGAGATACATCTTCATATACAATTATACAAGGTAATCCAAAATCAAATACGTTACGTTTAATTAATGATTATGATCCTTGGATGTTTCGTCGGGTGATACAATACATGAGTAAATGAAATCAGTCACATGATTAATTCATGTATTTTGTTTAGTTGAAATAAAATCTGAATGCGTTCAGTCACTTCCAGTGAATGAATAATAAAAAAAATGAACATATTAGAATTTAAATCTGGCAGATCTGATCTGGTTACAGGAAATACAAATCTAAGAACAAAAAGAAGTTCGAATTATTTGGATTACTAATCAATAAATATGTATTTGTTATTAGAATCCATAGATTTTGCCATATAGATTTAAATCGAGGAGAGATCTTTATTTATTTATTTTGTACAAAGGTATTGATTTAATAATATTTAATCTCTTTTGATGATATCAATAGAGAATAATTTATTCATAATTTTATAATTTTTTATAATTTTTTATAATTTTTTATAATTTTTTATATTTTTTATAATTTTCTATAATTTTTTTATTAAAAGTCAAATCAAAGTCAAAAAAAAAAAATAATGTCATCGGTTTCATCGTTTCCCAATGAAATTATGCAAAAGATTCTCAAAGATCTTTTTCATTATAATACACCATATCAACCTCATTATCGAGATTTATTTAATTGTATATTGGTGAATCGTCAATGGTGTTCTTTGGCCATTCCAATCTTATGGACAGATCCTTTAAGATATATGGATGTTCATAGTAAACCCTGTGATCCGATCATCATAACTTATTTATCAACCTTAAATCAAGTGGAAAAATCAAAATTAAATAATTTACTTGGATCAATAACTTTATTTGATGATACGATTTACAATTACCCTTCATTCCTTAAAATTTTAAATTTAAATGTTTTTTATTTGGCGATTTCGAATTTCATTAATTCATTGGATTTAAAGAAACGAAAAGAAATTTTCTTGAGGGATCATTTATTTCGTGAGATTTTTAATATTTTGACGAATCAAAATGCGAATTTGAAAGGACTCCTGATCACGGTGGATTATCCTTTATGTGACCTTTTACCCACACTTAATGATACGAAATTTGGATCCTTAATTAATCCTATTAAGAAGATGAAGTTTGAAATCATCGAAAATAGTCAACATATTCTTTTATTTTTGGCGAAGAATGTTCATAGCTTGGTATTTATTCCTTTTTTTTTTTTTGGATTTTATTTTTATTTTTTATTAGAACGATTCATATTTAATAAATATATATATATATTTTTTATAGGAATATCTCGAATTATGGCAAAAAACAAGTCACCTTAGTAATCAGAAGGGAACCATAGATAACGTTATTTCATTATTACTTAATCAATATCGATTAAATGGTTTAAAAATTGGAGGATTTTCTAAAGGGATTCATCGAATCATTTCCTCATTATCAAATCTCAAATCCACTTTATCTATCATTCACTTTTCTCATATTGATTTCTCGAGTTGTGGTTCAATGAATGGATTGGCGGATTGTGAGAATCTTGAGAATCTTGGATTTTATTGTTGTGAGAATTTAACCAAAGTGATGTGGGCCCCATTATTACGAACTTCCATGAATACCCTTGAAGAAGTGATCTTATACGATACGTCGGCGGATTGTATTAAGGAATGGAGTAAAAGGAGACAGATTAAAGTCTTGGAAGAATTAATTTAATTTTTAGATTAATCCATTCCGTAAGACGAGACGTTATTTATAATTATTATTATTATATTATTATTATTTGTTGTTATTAAATCATGGAAAGAATAGAATAAAGAAATTGTGATAAAAAGAATTACGGTGGTTGATAAGGTTGATAATAAACCAAATAGATTTGTTGATTCTGTTGTCACACTATTGAATATATATTTAAGAAATTACTTTATTTTACCTTTATCTAAATATTTTCAAAATAATCCTTTTTATTTTGAGTAAATAGAGAATTGATTAAATTAATGATTTTATAAAAAATATTTTACAATCTATCGCTTTTAATTTTAGTAAATTTTTTTTTTCTTTAGAAATTAATTAGTTATTAGGTTTGAATTTAGTTTGTTTCCATGTTCATTATTAAAATCGAATGTATTTTTTTTTATGATTTAAATAAAAAAATAAATAATAAATGTGAAATATTAATAAGAAATAAAATAAAATAGAAATAATTCAATTAATCAATTTTTCTTCGTTTATGATCATCTGATTAATATAAAAAATAAAATTAATAAAAAAAAATAATATATAAAGTAAATTTATTATAATAGAATGAAATTTAAAAATTTTACTTTGAACTTCAATGATTTCTTCTCGTGGCGGCGATTCGTCTAAGAAATGTTTTCTGGAATTTTCCATACTTAAATTACCGTACGAATTTTTTAAATCATTTATTTGATTAGAACTATTTAAAATTTATTAAATTATAGATAATTAGTAAAATTAATTCAAGATCAATTAATAACTATATTAAATTAAATAAAGCATGTAAAATATTATAAAGTTTATATACTTAATATCAAAATGATCATTAGAGAACAAATTATCGTTAATAGATTCTAACATGGAATTCAATGATATACTATAATATCTAGAATTTGGATGCTCATATCCTGGATTTTTTACAAATGGTTTTTTGGATTCAACCATTTTAAGTCGTTTTTTTTCTGCTTCATAAGATTCTAACCAATTATCATAATTATCTGAATAATGTTTTTTGATATAATCTTCAGTATAATCATAAAAACGTCTATCCTTAATTATTACTAATTCATAAATTTCATCTAGAGATGGTCGTTGAAATGGATCAGAATGCCAACATCTTTTCATTAAATTTTCCCAACATTCTGGCGTATCTTCTGTAATTTCTGGTCTTTTTCCATCTAAAATATCTAATATAAGTTTTGGTCCATGTTCTTGATCATGAAATGGTCTATGTCCGGATGTCAATTGCCACATAATCATTCCTAAACTATAAATATCTGATGCATATGAATAAGATTGACCTTTAAAAAGTTCTGGAGCCATATACGGAATTATTCCATATATTTGAGATTTTCTTGAAAGGTTTGGTTTAATAGTTGCTGGTTGACTAAATCCTAAATCTGAAATAATAGCTCCATCCATATAAATATAGTTACTAATAAGAATATTGCCACTATGTAAATCTCGATGTAAAATTTTCTTCCGATGAATTTTTCTAATTCCTTCAACAATTTTCTTTAAAAAAGCATTTTTTTTGGCCCATGTTATTCTTGAAAAGTTTTGATTCAAATAATGATGCAAGTCTCCTTTTGTTGCATATTCTAAAATAAATGCATAATTTTTAGTCTTTGGATTTTGAGTTACTCCATAACATTGGATTATGTCTTTCTTGAACTGACATGTATATTTTAACTACGAATATATTATAAAATAAAATATAATAAATATAAATAAAAATAATTCAATGAATTTTAATAAAAATGGATGTTACCTCTTTAAAAAATTCAGTATCTACATTCTCGGAATCATTTAGGACTTTTAAAACAACTTCGGTTTCTCTCTGTTTGAAAATTCCTTGATAATTTATAAAATTTCTTTCCCAAGTTGCTTTATAAATTTCACTAAAACCACCCTTCCCAATATATTTTACATTTGTAAATTTTTCATATGGAACCCATTCTAAAAATGGTTTTTCTATGGATCCATATTTTGGCGATTGTGATTTTTTAATGAAATCATCAATGTTTTTATTGCCACTGTTAACAGTCAACGGTTCCTGTTCCAGTGCAAAACATCGTTTACATAAATCTAAACTATTGATAAGCGCTCTAATGTTGCATTTTATGCATTTGATCCTATGTTCTCTTTTAGTAAAACGGTCAGCCATTTTTCAAATATGAACAAGATTAACATTTTGAATTGTTTGAAAATTTGATATTTATATAATTGGGTTAAAAAAATTAATTTTCTAAGAATCTGAAAACATATATTCATAGAATTTTCTACCAGTTTTATTAAAACTTTTTTTTCGAAGAATACATTCGTCGTCGAACGTTGGAATATGCATACTTTATTTCAAAAAAAATACCAAATTTGGGAATGTTCTTTAATTAGAAAATTCTAATAGAATTGAAAATTAGAAAAGAGTAATATAATTGAGATAAAGTTCTTTAATGCTACAAAATTTTTTTGAAACAAAAAAAATTCATACAACACATCAACGATTAATAGAATTATTTTTATTTCTATTTCTATTTTCACTTTATTATATATTATTATTATATATATGTTATCGCTTTTATAATTTTTTAATAATTTTAATAGTTTCCCGAATCTTATTTATCATTTCATTTGTTGTAGATAACGTTTTCGGGGGTTTTTTTTTTTTTTTAGATTGGTTATTTATATTATCGATAATTTTCTTTCTTTAAAATCTCGTTTAGAATACAGATTAATAAAAAAATGGTTGTATAATTTTCCACACTTGAATTACCGTCTAAATTTAATTAGAATACATTCGTCGAACGTTGAGAATGTTCTATGTTGTCATTTGTCATGCAATGACCAAGTTTGTGGTTGAAAACAATCTGTTACCAAATATTGTCAAGTAAAATGAATAAAGAATATAATACACCTTTAACTATATTGAACTTTAGAGAAAAGAAATAGGATAAGTTGTAGCAGATTAAAAATGCATATTGGCTTGACAGGTTTTTAATGGTCAAATATTTAAACGGAAATTTACATAATAAAATGTAATTAATAACAAAAATATGTAAAATCTTGTGCTGAATCTTTTTACTCGGAGATTGAAAGGTAATTGACATAATAAATTTTGAGTTATTAACGATTTTTTATTATTTTTGTACATATTACTTTGATCTTCAATTATTTCTTCTTCCAATAATTCATCTAAAAATGTTTTTTTGAATTTTCCATATTTGAATCTTCTAAAAATATATTTATATAGGGCTTCTAGGATAAAAGTCTCGATCCGGGGTCTATTTTAAGGACATATTGATCTGATATTCTTTTTGATTCCACCTTCGCAATAAAAAATGAAAAATTACCATTTTGGAAATTCGAATATTTCTAGTCTGTTGGTCGTTGAGAAGGATCAGAATCCTAGCAACTTTTCATTAAATTTCCCAAAATTCTGGTGTATCTTCCATCTAAAATATCTAATATAAGGTTTGGTACATGTTTCTTGATTATGAAATGGTTTATGCCCTGATTTCATTTCCCACATAATCACTTATCAGGAATATTTACAAGGCAGATATTTTCGAAAGTTTTTAGAACCTACATAAATTTTCGAAAGTATTTACCTTTTTATGATTCGCTCACGATTTACGCGACAGGGAGCGATTTTCTGCTAAGGTATTTCTATGAAGATAGAAGCGCCTCATTCAAGGTTACAAGATAATATGTGGTTTTGCTCTGAAACATTGATATTCGCCGAAATATTCCGGTTTAGAGAAAAACGTCCATAAAAATTTTCGCAAATTTCCATGAAATATTTCAAATTTTTAAACAGACATTCTTTTAAACCGAAATATTTCGGCAAATATCGATGGTACAGGGACTAAACATATATCAACTTGTAGCCCTGAATGAGGCGCTTCTATCTATTATAGAATACCTTAGTAGAAAATCGCTCCCCGTCGCGTAAATCGCGAGCGAAGTCATAAAAACGTGAATATTGTACTTTCGAAAATTTACGTAGGTGACTGACTGGTTAATCCTAAATTGAATGTTGTCACAATGTAAATAAATTTTTTTATAATGAATTCCTTCTAAGTCCTATAATTATGTTCCATTAAAAATTAAATTTTTAAATACATGTCATTTCTGAAAAGTTTTTATTTAAAAAATGATACCATTTGTTACATATTCTAAAATAAAATGCATAATTTTTAGTCTTTGGATTTTGAGTTACTCTATAACATTGGATCTATTAAAATTAAATCCCCTCCTGAACTGATATGTATTTTTTAACTATATTAAATTATAGAATAAATGTAAATAAAAAAATCCAATAAAAATAATTGTTACTTCTTATTTATAAATTTTTTCCATAAATTTGTCTAAAAAACCTCTCCCGATATGTTCTAATTTACCCATTCTAAGCATTCACTATACACACTTTATTGCAACTGTCGCCAATTTGTGAGTTCATGACATTACATCGTTTATATAAATGCAAACATTCTTATGTTACATTTTATAGATTTAACGAGTTCATTAGATCCATCATGTTTTCTTGTTTTAAAAGTTATTTTTAAATAGGAACAGGATGAACTTAATTTTTTTTTTTTGAAGAATACACGTTGAGAATGTTCTATGTTTTAGAATAACCATGTTTCAAACTGAAAAAAACATATTTTCCATATATATCTATTCAAAAAAAAAAGTGAATTATACAACACATAAAAAATTGGAAGAATCACTTTACGCATTCAACCTTTTATTTGTTTTAAATATATATGTTTATACAAAAGAAAAATGACAAATAAGATAATAACAACAATAAACCAAAAACAACTAACATAAAAAATTTAATAACGAAACCTAATCTATAACGAATGGAATAAGATTCAGGAAAACTATTAAGTCGTGATCCGTGAAAGAACGGCACTACTATTTATTACATATATATGTGTGTGTTCAAATCTATGGCTGAGCTGCTACAAAGAAAAATATTTTTTCGCCAAGTCGATTGTTATGCATATCTAACTAATCACATGAATTGGTAAATAATTTTGTAATTTTTTTCTTGAAGCATTAAAAAAATGATTTGCATAAATTTGCCCCAAAATTGAATAATAATTTAGTGCCTATCTCTCAAGGATCAGGACTTAAAAATATATAATAATAAAGGTGAAAAATAAAAAAATAAAATGTAATAATCGTTAAATTTTAGCATAATCTACAACTTTTCTTCGTTTAGAGTTATCTTTAATATAAAAAATTACAAGTTAATAAAAATAATAACAATAAATAAATTTTATTTATAGAAACAATTTAAAAATATTACTTTGATCTTCTTGTGGAGATTCATCTAAAAAACATTTTCTGGAAATTTCCACTACACTTGGATCGGAACTATTTAAAAATTAATTATTAAACATAGATAATTAAGATAATTAATAAAATACAATACATACAATGATCATTAGATAACAAATTATTGTTAGAGGATAGATCTATGGAAAATTATATATAAGAAATTATCAATGTAATGAATTATATCATTTAAAAATTATAAAAAATTAAAAAATAATTAAAACCTGATACTGTTGAATTAATAGATTCTAACATGGATTTTAATGATGTACTATAATAGCTAGAATTAGGATGTTCATATCCTGGATTTTTTACAAATTTTTTTTTTTGGATTTAACCATTTCGCGTCGTTTTTTTCAGTTTTATTAAATTCTAACCACATATCTGGGTAATACTTTTTGACATAACCTTCAGAAAAACAATGATAATAATTAAAAATTTTTTAATAATTCGTAAATTTTATCTAGAGATGGTCGTTGAGGGATCAGAAAGCCAACATCTTTTCATTAAACTTGCCCAACATTCTGGTGTAATTTCTGGTCTTTTTCTATCTAAAATATCTAATATAAGTTTTGGTCCATGTTCTCGATCATGAAATTGTCTATGTCCTGATGTCGTTCCCACATAATCATTCCTAAACTATAAATATCTGTTTCATATGAATAAGGTTGACCTTTAAAAAGTTCTGGAGCCATATATGAAATTATTCCATATATTCGAGATTTTCTTGAAAGATTTGGTTTAATAGTTGCTAATTGACTAAATCCTAAATCTGAAATAACAGCATTATTTCGATTATCATCTTTAATATAATTACTTCAACCATGTTTATCAAAAATCTAATTTTTTCTCTCCACGTTATTTCTGCAAAGTTTTTATTTAAAAAAATGATGCAAGTCTCCTTTTGTCGCATATTTTAAAATAAATGCATGATTTTCGAATTTGGAATTGGGTTACTCAATAACATTAAATCCTCCGAGCTGATATGTATATTTTAACTATATTAAAAAAATAAGATATAATAAATAAAATAAAATAAATTTCAATAAATTTTTAATAAATTTTTAATAAATTTTTAATAAAAATGGTTTTTACCTCTTTAATAAATTCTGAATCCACATTCTGGGAATCATTTAGGACTTTCAAAGAAACTTCAGATTTTTTTGTTTCAAAAATTTCTCCATAATTTATAGAATTTTTTTCCCAAGTTACTCTATAAATCTCGCTAAAACCACCCTTCCCAATAAATTCTAAATTTGTTAAATTATCATATGGAACCCATTCTAAAAATTCACTATACACACTTTCTTTTGTAAATTGTTCTTTGATGAAATCATCAATGTATTTGTTGCCACTGTCAACAATTAGTGAGTTCATAGCATTACATCGTCTACATAGACACAAAAGATTAATAGATTTTCTTTTTTTTTTACATTTTTTATATTTAATGCATTAGATCCATCAAGTTTTCTTTTTTTTTTTTATAAATTGTAGAAAAATTATTAGAAATTGAATCGCTAAAGATCACCACGGTGTATTGAGCAAAGTTAGATCAGGGAATTATGTAATTTTGCCTAGTGGTGACAATCACTGTCGGTGAGCTTTAACAATACCAATTTTGGTTATCATTTGTTAAATTACTATCCAATTTTGGGGCAAAATTATGTAAATCATTTTTACCAATTCATGTGATAAGTTGAATAACAAAATATTTTTCTCATGTCTAATTTATCATTCCATTTGTTATAGATTATTACTTTTTTTGGATTAGTCATTACAATTTTTTTCGTTTAGAGTTACTGTACCTGATTAATATATTAAAAAATGTTTTTGATTAAAACTATTTAAAATCGTTAAATATAGATAATATTAAAATATTAATGAATTATAAATAATAAAAAACAGATTAATAAATAATTATCTCAAAGCATACCTTTGTGATTTATATCTATGTTGATTTTCCACCTTCTTTAAAAGGAACCCATTCAAATATTTATATTTTAATCGTTTTGATTTACAAAAATCGGAACTTTGTTACGTGACAAAAGAACTTCCATTTTTCAAAATAAAATTTCCGATTTCAAATAAAAAAAATGTCTCATGAAACTTTATTACATAACGGTATTCATAAGGCCAAAGAACTAACGAATATCACACTATCCATCAACTATTACGATAATAAAAAATAAAAAAAGGTAACGGTCGTCGAAAAATTTACCGGAGATGCATCCCGGTCACTTTGTAAGACAAGAAACTTTCACATTTCTACAAGGACTTTGGAAAAAAAAATTAGCAAATACAATATAGGAATGGAAGATCACGGAAATCTTGGGTATCTAAAAAAAACTTCCTAAAACAACACTGATGCTAACTGAAACAGCATTCTAACTTTTTAGAAATACTGTAGAACATCAATACGGCCAGTTCATCTTATGCCTAAATATCGCACAAAAATTATGGCTTGGGGTGTACTAAAGGAAAACAAGTTTATTTTTCAAATTCTTGCAGACATGCGCCCAAGATTAACTAGATGCTCGGTCGTAAATGGTGCTTTCAACAAGACAATGACCCAAAGCATACAAGTTGTCTTTTCTCCAAGAAAATTTCGCTGTAGTTAAGAGTGGTCATCAAATAGTTCCAATTGAAATCCAATAGTAAACTTTGGGCAATTGTTAAGAGTAATGTAGAGAAGAGAAATCTCATAATGTTTGAACTTTACAATTTATATTTTTTAAGTCGGTTCTTCGGCGATCACTCATGGTTATTATACATATATCGAATTATTAATAATAGACTAAAAATTTTTTATGACCCATGAAAACTTCAAGAATTATACGCGACAATGCAATGTGAGTTAAATTATTAAAAACAACATGGCTAATCTAAAAAATTTAACAACGAAAACCCAATCAAATAAGATTCGGGAAACTATTAAAGTTGTATACTAATATAAATAATTTAAGTAAATTTAAATGAAAAATAGAAATATTGCGGTGGTGATTGTCAGGCAAAATTACATAATTTCCTGATCAACCCTAACCCCACGTAAATTTAATTTTGCCCAGTGGCGACGATCACCACCAGGTAAGCTTTAGCACTTTTCAAAAAAAAAAAAACGGTAATCTATACTTTTCTTCGTTTAGAGTTACAGTATCTGTTATTATAAAAAATTACAAATCAATAAATGGTAACCATAAATAAATTTATTTATAGAAACAATTAAAAAATATTACTTTGATCTTTGATGATTTCTTCTTGTGGAGATTCATCTAAAAAACTTTTTTGGAATTTTCTACTACACTATAACTATATTTAAAAATTAATTATTAAACATAGACATATTAAGATAATTAATAAAATAAAACTCAATTTAATTAATTATTTTTTTAAAATATATAAACATATTACTTTAGTAAATAGATCTATAGAAAAATATATGAAAGTATTAATATAATGGATTATACATATCTAATTGAATACAAACTGTAACAAAAAAAAAAAGGAAACAAAATGAACGATATTAATAGTAAAAAGTAAAAATAGTGAAGAAATACGTGATTGAGAAAGATTTGCGTACTTAAAATATATATAAGTAAATGTACATAAAAGAATAAAAGGAAATGAAAAATCTAGCAATGCCTAATCTGCCTGTTAAAAAACGATATATTAATATATTGAGTGATTCAACAAATTATGATTGTCACCACTGGACAAAATTTCATAATTCCTTGATCAACTAACCCTAACTTTGCCCACGTAAATTTAATTTTGCCCAGTGGTGACAATCACCTACGATGATATTTATACTGTAGATGATTTTTGTAGCACAAGTACTTTTTTTTTTGAAATTTATAAGGAAATACATTATCCAAGGACTTTATAGTTTTCTATCATGGAACGATGATAACATATTCCATGATAGAAATTTCGATAGCATATAAACAAGAATTTCAATTATTTGATCTTTTTTATAAATTTATAAATTTATAAATTGTTACATTTGTTACGTTTGTTAAATTTTTACATCAATTTATTTATAAATAGAGAATCCAAAAATTCATATACAAATATTGTCATAACTTCAAATGTCAAAGAATTGTAAAATTATAAATTGCGAGTTTGAACATAATAATTATATACTTTGATGTTTCCAATAAAATATTTAAATAGAGCGCAGAAAATTATTTGTATTTAAAAAATATTTTTTTGCTTGTGATCATGACTTCGAATTCAATCTTTTCTTGGCAGCGTAAATACAAAACTAAAATAAAAAATATAAAACAAATGTGATTAGTCGCAAATATCTAAAATTCCTCGTTAAAAAAAAAAAATAAAATAAAAAAAAAATGGAATAAACTTTACCTCATCAAAGAGGATATATCCTCCACGGTTTGTATCAATTTCATTGAATGCCTTCTTAAGATCTTCGTCAGATTTCACGTTTATTCCCATTAATTCATGTCCCTTCTTGAATTCAACATAACTGACCCGTTTATCGTTATTTTTATCAAGTTTCTGAAACATCTTATATAACTCATCATAGTAAAATAGAAGATCAAGAAGACGGCCGAATTCATTGAAATCGATGAAACCATCCTGATAAATTTTTTTTTTTTTTTGAAATTTTTGGTAATGATAAAAAAAAATTGATAATATTGATAAAAATTGATATATTAATACATTGATTTTAATAATTGTTTAAAATTTTTTTACATGAGAACTATTTTGTAAGGTAAACTAACCTTTGAAGTGTCAGCTGCTTTATAAGCTCGCATGATGGCTGGTTTATCTTTTGCAAGTTGAGGATAAAGTTCGATGACTGCTCTGTCAATTTCAGCAAGGGATAAGATACCATTTCCATTATAGTCAAAGGAATCCCAAACCTATCACAAATTATTAAAGATAAGTATACATTTATCAACCTTTTTATCATACTTTTATCATACTTTTATCATATTATACCTTCTTTACTTCAGATTTTTCAATTTTCGACATAATGAATATGAAGTATAATTATTTTTAATTTTTAATGAATTTGAATATGAATATAATTTTTTTAATTTTTTTTTTAATTGCTTCGAAAGTATGTTGGTGGTATATATTTATAAAAAATTGGCTGAAATAATGTGACACAACGGAACAATATTATCGAACTTTTTTTTTTATGTTTGTGCATTTTACGACGTTATCTGCATATAAAATGCATTTCGCACAATGCGTAATGCTGCTGCATTATGTCTTAAATATTGTTTTGAATAACTAAAATTTAAACATATTTGACAAGCGAACTTTCCTCAAAAAATAGAAATTTGACTTTTTTTGGAACCAATGAACACCAATCATTGTCGTTTGAAATACACAGTTCCCTGGAATTTGGGATAAAATTCTAAAACAAGAATGCTCAAAGAAGTTCTAGAATTTATTTATTTTGACAACGAAATTCTAAGGTAGAAAATAGAACTTATAGAACTTTCTCAATGATCCATGCACAGAACTTTCTAGTTGGAATTCTTTTATGTACAATGACAAGTGATTTTTTAATTATGAAAAATATTTTGGGTATTAATGAATCCCGATAATTTCTTAATATTATCTTTTTATATTCCTTTTATCTTTTAGTATAAGAAAAGGTAGTCGGATTTAATCATTTATCATAAGAAAACTTGATGGATCTAATGAATCCATCAGTTATTTAAAACGAATTTTGTAAACGATGTTTTGTAATTGTTAACAGCGGAAATAAAGCAATGATGATTTCATCTAAAGAACAAATTACAAACGTCAAAAAATCAGTTGTTCTATTATCAGAAACGTTAACAGGAATTATGCATGATCCTATAAAATGAGTTTTTGCAGTAAGGTAATACTAAATCAAAAATTATAACTATTCTTCCCTTTATATAAGGTAAAAATGTCGGAAAACAGAACGGAGCATATAATACATATTCATGGCATTTTTTTAGTTGACCTAATAATTAATAAGACTTAGGAATTGACGCTATAAATTTGCGAGTTCTATCTTTCATATCGTTAAAACATCTTGAGAGCTCATAGAGTGTGATTCTCCAATAAATATTTTTAAATTCGATTCCAACAATTTCTAACAGATAGATACGTAATATTTTCACCATTTACAAAATATCCAGTGGCGCAGTTTAAATGTAGAATATGATTTCGAACTTAAAACGACTGGCAACGATATCATCATATGCGCGTGAGATTAGAGTTTGTATCAAATATTATCTAGATATAGCGATAATATTCTTTTTTATTTGAGAATATATGATGTAATTCTTATCACAATACAAATTTCGATATTACATTTAATAAAAATTTTAAAACATGATTATTACACCAAGTATATGTCAAAATTTAATTAATAAATTAGCAATAAAAAATTTACTTTTTTCAGTTTAAGAACAATGCAATGAACTGTAAGGAAAAGACCGAGACTTCCAGAAAATTAAAAACGCAATATAATGTTCGACATGAAGTAATTAAAGGAAACAGAGTTGGCAGAACTAATTAAAGACCCAAATTCCTGAAGTGTATCTATTGAAAATTGTGGCGTGATTACGAAAACCAATAAAAATAATGGCAGACTAAAAGATCATTATATGGTTGATGACACTTAAATAATTAGATTAGTGTATTATAATAATAATAAAAATAAATAAATTAGAAAAAAAAATAATATGAATGATGTAATAGTTGGCTGATTTTTTTTTAATGAAATGTCACAATCTTATAAAACTATAAAAAAAATAAGAATCCAAGAATGGTAATCATTCTTAAATACAATGTATTTCTCTATTCCGTACACCGGACCGATTTAGTATTTCCATAATGAATCGTCTATTGTTGTCGGTGTGCCACAACATTTATTTTATTGCATAAAATTCTTTATCTATAGAATTTTCATTTACTTATTAATGAATTTTCATTATGTTTTATTGTTCGATTCATTTGATTAAATTAAGTTTTATTGTTCAATTTATTTTGAATTTCATTGTCCGATTCATCTGAGACTAATTATTAATTATTGAATTTCATTGTTTCCGATTAACGATGTCTCGGAAATGATAAAAATATAGGCCAAGAAAAATTCTATCACCCGACAGGACAGTATCTTATTATGACTAATAAGTCCGTTGCACGAAGATTTACCTCATAATAGCCAGCCGAGCGAGTTAAGAAAATAAAAATAAATTTGTAATGCTCAACTGTCTATCTATTATTTTCAAATAAATGGACCAACAATAAAACTCTGATTAAAAATAATGCCAAATATAAATATCCAATTGTTAACAGTGGCAGTGAAAACATCAATATCAAAGAATCACAGGCCACAAGAAAATTTTATTATCCGTATTAACCTTTTGACGAATTTACAGATGTAAAGAAAATTGGGCAAGGTGGTTTTAGTCAAATTTTTAAAGTAACTTGGAGAATTAATAATATTAAACGGACAAAAAGTAAAATTGGTTTGAAAATTCTAAATGATCTCCAGTATGTGGGTATAGAATTTTTAAACAAGGTAATAATTAATAATTTGTATCTGGAAAAATATAATTACAATGTATATTTTGGTTCGGGAATTCTGTTGGCTATTTTAGAAATTTTTATTGAATGTTATGTAGTAACTCAAGATCCAAAAACTAATATGCCAGATGGATAATGGATAAATCATTTTCCAAAAAAATAAAAAAAACAAAAATTCATGAACTTTTAAAATTACGTGTCAATAGTATTACTGAAGGATTCAAATTTATGTACGTAAGATTCGAATCCTTCAAATATATGGAGTAATTGTAATTCCATGTGTGGATCCAGTCGGCAACAATATATATATATTGTTGCCGACTTATACTAGACTGTTGCCTACTTATGGGTATATTGTTACCTAC